CTATCTTCTGACACCATGAACTGTTTCCCCTCTGCCATGTGCCACCCTGCCTTGGAGCCAGCCAATCTTGGACTGAAACCTCCACAAACTGTGAGCTAAACAAACCTTTCCCCCTGTAACTTTGGGCATTGGGTACTTTGTCTCAGCAACAAGAAAAGTAACTAAGACATAAGGTACACGCTACATGCAATTCCTCATTTAGCAACCAATTCATTTAATGACCTGGTTGCAGGAATGGAACTCTGTTGTGAGATATCTCACTCACATAATCACCATCTGCATCCCGATGGACAGCTGCTGAGTGATCCCTTGTTCCTCTTCCTTGCCCTACACTGGAAATCATTTTTCTGGCACCTGTCACCATTCCTTAGTTTTGCCTGTTGCTAAATTTCACATAACCATGCAGTCTTTTTCTGGCTTCTTTCACTCAATCTGATGTCTGTGAGATTTATCCATGTTGCTGTGTGGACCAGTAATTCATTTGCATTTACTCTTGAGAACAGGTTATTGTCCAAAGAGAAATGTACGATCATGCAATTATGATGTCCCTTATGGAAGGGACCCTAAGACTCATGTGTCACCTCAACTCCCCAGCACAGACATTGGATCACTAGAGTACCCTGCATCACAATGACATGGGGTGTTTGACAAAAATGACCATTCCCAAGCCTCACACCACCTGTTGGATCAGATTTTGGAAAGATGGAACAAGGTTATTAAAGTAGGCTGGGAAATAAAACATCATTGTATAACTGGGCTCAGAAAATCTCTGATGCCAATAAGATTTAAAAAAAAAAAAAAAAAAACACAAGGTTGTAAGCTGCGATTTGAAGTAAGCAAGAAACATCCTGGTCCTTTGGACAGAAGTACACTGGACATAGTTAAAGGCACGGAGCATAATTGCTGCAGCAGTTACATGCTGATTTTTTTAAAATCCCTGTGAGGGGATCAGTTGGTCACCAGGGATTCAGGGGAGCTGCTGTGACTAGGGGAGCATGGAATGTTTTCAGGGACTAGTTCTCACTGCCCTGTGTGCTCCTGCAGTGATGGATAGACGCCATGCATTGTCCAAACCGCAGAATGAACTGTTATGGTTTGTGTCTGCATGTCCCCCCAAACCCTCATGCAGTCATGGGGTAGGCTTTTGGATTTCTGATTGATCCATGATCCAATGCCGGGATTATGGGTGTGGGTGCTACCCCTACCCTGGGACGGGTAGTTTGCGTACAGTGTAAGGGCGGGAAAGAGGCTGCTTGCCGCCGCTCCTCCCTTTTGCTCTTGTTGCTTTTTGCTGTCTACCGCTGCCATGAACTGTTGTCCCTCGGCCACGTGCCACTCTGCCTTGGAGCCAGCTGAGTATGGACTGAAACCTCCACGAACTGTGAGCTCAATAAACCTTTCCTTCCTTCATTTTGGGCGCCAGATATTTTGTCTGAGCAACGAAAGAAAAGTAACCGAGACATGAACAATGCCTGGAAAAACCCTAAAGTAAACCACTGACTTACATCATCACGTGTAACACGGGTACCTGGCGCAGGACCACAGCTGTAGGGAAGGATCCTGGGGTGTGGAGGGTACGTGGGAAAACTCTCAGTACCTTGTGCTGAACTTCTGCTAACCTAAAGCTGCTCCAAAAAATGTTAGTCTGTTTTTAAAAAAATCCTTGGGATTGCACAGCTAGACAAAAGCGTAAGTTTCACGAAGCCAGCTGGTTCCATGCACCCCGGTCCACCATCTGCCCGGCCCGACTGGACACCCAAGTGGAGGTGGGCGGGGACGCGATCAGAGCACCCCCTCAGGTGCAGTGCTGTGACGCCTCTACTTCTCCTCGCAGGAGCCTGGCCCCTACTGCGGCCTCCAAGAGGAAAATCACAAAAACAATCCTGCAGATGTCCCTGGAGCATCACATCGTGACCCCGTTCACCTCCATGCTCATTGAGAACGCCGCTGGGGACGAGCGCATGCTGGCCGACGCCCCTCCGCAGGACGTCTCGTGCTGCTCAGGTCAGCCAGCTGCTCTGCGGGCGTGGGCGCACCCTCTGCTCGCCCCGCCCACCCCTTGCTCCCAGCGAGGGTCCCTGAACCCCAAGCTCACCCCTTCAACTTGCTTTCGGGGTGGGTTATTGCGGTGGACTTCAAATCTCCCAAAGGAATTTTGAAAACCTATGAACTCCCACATCCACTTTTAAAATCAACGTTTAGGTTTTTTTCATCGCGTTTACACAGTTGCCACTCGTGCACTTCCGGCATGCGGTGAACAGTAATCTTGTAGTAAAACCAGGTCAGTGTTAGTGTAACTGAGGAAACAGAATATTTGATACTATCATTCATCTTCGCAAACAATACATGAACAAAGCTGGGTGTGGTGGTGCACATCGGCCATCCCAGCACTCTGGGAAGCTGAGGCAGGAAGATGGCAAATTTGAGCCCAGCTGGGGCAACTTAGCAATTTAATGAGAATCAGTGCCCCAGTAAAGTTTTTTTTTTTTTAATTAAAAAGGGCCTGTGCGTGTGTGTAGCTCAGTGTGAAGGCCCTGAGTTCAATCTCCATTCCTGTAAATAATAATAATTCTAAGGGCTGGGGATTTAGCTCAGCGGCAAAAGCGCCTGCCTGGCAAGCTCAAGGTAGTGAGTTTGGTTCCCGGTACCGGAGAAAAACCAAATAATAATTCTATTTTAATTATTGAAAATTATAATATTCTCTCCTCTAGTTGAACACAGTGTGATGCCAGAAGATGCTGTAGCAGAGGACTCGGGAATAAACTCAGGGGGAGCCTAGCGTTTAGCTCAGGGTAGAGCACGTGCCTAGCATGTTTGAAGCCCTGGGTTCACCCTCCAGGGCTGCAAAAGGGAGCGGGTGAAAACCGTACCAGGAACCTGGAGGGGCGCGCAAGACAGGTTCTTGACGCCCTGCGCACCTCCTACGGAGAAGTGACGACGGGCAGCTTTTCCCACACAGGTGCCCTCTACTACGGCAGCAAAGTAGCCCCGGGTTCCATCCCATCGTGGGCCAGCCCCTCCCAGTCGTCGCCCACCGCGCTGTCCCTGGTAAGGGGGCCACCCCTGGAGGCCACGCCCCCTCCCCACGTGATCAGAGGTAAGCTGGGCGGCTCCGCCCTCGGCCAGGTGACTGCAGCGGGTGACCCGCAGGCGCAGCTGCTTCCCCTGGGGGAGGAGCTCCGCACCCTAGGTGGTAAGGGGCGGCTAGATAACCAACACTCAGGTACCTTCTCCTGGGTTCACGTCGTCTGGCAAACTCGAGCAAGCACGTAATGTGTCTGCGCTTCGTTGAGAATAGACACAATGGCACTTCTACATATATTTTTTGGTACTAGGCTTTTGATTAAATGCGAAACATGCCTACAGCAATAACGAGCACGTAACCGTCAGTACATAGATGCTATTATTAGAGATTAGGATCTATAAATTTAGTGATCTAAGATACATTCATGTTCTTTCCTCCACAGCACAGGTTACTCTGTGGGATTTAAGAGTATACAGATTCTAGTTTTGCTCAGGCTTTTTTTGTTTAGTTTGGTTTAGTTTCTGGTTTTTTGTTTGGTTGTTTTGTTCTGTTTTTTAGACAGTCTTGCTATGAAGTCCAGGCTGGCCTTGAACTTACAGCGCTTCTCCTGACTCAGTGTCCCAAGAGCTGGGATTATAGTTGTGTGCCACCACACCTGGATTGCTCAGTCTCTAATAAAAAAAAGCCTTTCTGTGGACTATTGCAGTGGGAGCTATAGGCAGTAGGTGCGATTATCTGTAGGAAAACTACAGGAGAATGTATTTCTCCGAGGGTTTTGGCGGCTGTAGCTTCCTTACGCAGTGGTCGGCCTCTCTAGCCTCTGCCCTCTCAACATGAGACAGAGAAGCCAGCCGAGGAAGGCGGAGCAGGTGCAAAACCAGCCCATGGTACAGCGTGCCAGGGACTGAAATAAGTTTTGCAAACCAGGGAGTTTATTCATAAGGGGGACGAACGTGAACAGCTGGGAGAGCCACGTTTCAAATCCACCTCTCTGAGAATAGGGTTTAGGGACATTTATGGGACAAAGAAGCAGAGTGACTGAACACACAGCAAAAGCGCTTGGAAGCGAAGGAATCAGCGGCACGCATGCGTAATCAATCAGCACAGCTCTTTGCGGGACGCGTGTTCGGAAACTGCAGCGTTCGGGTCATCTGAGGGTGAGATGTTGGTCCTGAAGTCAGAATGTCACCCACTGGACCCCTGGTCAGGCCCACGTGAGGAGTCAGTGGCTTCCACAAAAGCGGCCTTCCAGGCCCTGAAAAGTAACCTACAGCACCGCTGCCGTTATGACCCGCACATCAGAGGTGCCGTCTGTCCCTTGGCTGGTGGGACTGGTAGCACCTCAGCTGTGTGACCGCCGCCACCAGTGATCTTCCAGGTTAACTAAAGCAGGTGGCCGGCAGCAAGTGAAGCCGGAGCTGGCTCGGGGCTGGTTCGGGGTCTGCCTCGGTTTCTCCAGCTCCCTGCCACGGTGTTACCACCTAGAGTCCACAGCTGCCTGACAGCCGGCCAGCCTCAGGGGAGAACTTGTGTTCCTCCCCTTTTCTCTTTTTGTGAGACAGGAAGCTTGAACCTTCAGAGAGAGTCTGTCCCTCCCTAGAGGGAAGGTCCTAACTTGGTTTCTGGAGGGTAAATGGAACTGTGGTTCCTGGACAGTGGTGCGCTTTGCACTCCCTGGGATGTACACTCTTCTAGCAAAACATCCTCGGCAGATTCCCAGGGGTGTGTCTACCACTGCCGCAAGCCTTGTGCTGCCGCAGAGCAAGCTTCTGGGACTCCGGTGGACATGCTAAATGATCTCCGCTCACTCCCGTGGCTCAGCTCCAAAGCTACTGTTTGTGGACTGAAGGGACTGGCTGCTTAGAATGCCGCATACAGCCACCCCTCTTGTCCCTTACCCATGACTGCTGGCTACGGAGCTTCAGGAAGGGCTCTGCATTGACCTGGGCGTTAAAAACAGTGGCCTTAGAAAGCCATTGAGTGGTCTGTGTGGAAATCGCTGTACTGATGCCACAGCAGCCGCTGCAGGGAGCGGCTTCCAAGAACAGGAGACTTCTGGGATGGCCAGTGAACCCTAACCCTAACTAGCCACCTAAGCAGGTGCTTTGCAAAATAAAGCTTTTGTGGAAAACGTGGGGATAATGTTTTACAAATATTCTTCCCAGTAAGAATGCAAGCCTTCTCCCCAGCTTGTACACTGAGTCAGACAGTGGTGGGGTCCAGCTCTGCCCATATGACTTTGGACCACACTCTGGAGCCTGTCGGGGTCTCACCCACTCTAAAATGGGACGATGCTTGCAGGATGGTTACGAAGTAAGTTTCTCACACCTGGTAGAAGCTCAGCAAACACTGGCTGGTGTTACACCACGTACCTCAAGTCCTTGAGAACCTACAGTTTCTTCACAGAGGTCCTCAATGTGCTACTTTCAAGCTAATCAAATTTTAAAGCTGCACCGTCTTTTGGATGATTTTCTTTTTAATTTTCTTGTATATTTTCTAGTTGAAAATGACCCACATTTCATCATTTACCTACCAAGAAGCCAGGAGAATATTTGTTTCAATATTGACTCAGAACCTGGAAAAATCCTCAACCTGGTTTCTGATCCAGAATCAGGTAAAAATAAAGGGAAATTACATTTGAATTAGACAATTAGGTAATTGTGTACTTCCCTGTCACTGCCTGGATTTATTTCTTTTTCACCTTAATAGGATATTCTATATTTTTCTAACTCTGATAATTTGTAAGAAATTAAATCATAAGTATATTGTCTTGAATAATTATAGTCCAAAGCATACACTCTAAGTTCAAATGAGCTGATCTTATTTTAATATAATCACTTTATAATAAAATATGTTATAAATGAGATTTATAAGGAAAAGATTGATGTAAATTCTAAACCAAGATAATTTTCTCAAAATACCAAGTTTTATAAATCCAAATTATAGTGCCATGCATGCAGAAAAAAAAACGGCTAAAGTGTAAAAGAGAAATATTTTTTGTTCTATAGGAATTTTAGTCAATGGTCAGCTTATTGGCGCCAAGAAGCTCCAAGACGGAAAACTAAGCACCTATTTTGGAAAACTGGGCTTTTATTTCCAAAGCGAAGACATGAAGATAGAAGTCAGCACCAAGAACGTCACCCTACACCACGGTTCTCGTACATCCATCTTGTCCTGGTCGGATACGGCTCGCCTGGTGAAGTCGAGGCAAGCACTGTGCCGGCAGCCTGGGGCCTGTCCTTCACACGGGCCCGCCCAGGCAAACGCAGTCACCAGCCACATCCCCGTGGAACTTACAGCAATCACTTTAAATATAAGGAAGGGGAGGAAGTCTGATGTGGTGGTGCATGCCTGTAGTCTGAGGCTGGAGGATCGCCAAGTTTGAGGCCAGCCTGAGTAATTTAGTGACTCAGGGAGACTGTCTCAAAACAGAAGGAGGCTGGGGATGTAGCTCAGTGATAAGGCTCTGGGTTCAGCCCCAGTATCATCAAAAGGAAAACTGATGTTTAGGAAAATTGTTCTTACTCAGTACACTGTTTGTGGCATACGGACCATGTGTTTGATCGCCACTGTGCCTAGCCCGCTGCATGACTCGCAGTAAGCACCACTGAGATCCGTAGCGGGCTGTGTCAGAGAGCATGCTCCAGATACTATGCATTTGTATCTTAAGCACAGTAAGTTCCCAAATGTATCTGTTAACTAAATTTGGTCCACAAACCATGCCAAGTGACAGAATTTTAGAGCCAGGAGTTAAAACAACAACACTCCATAGCAAGAGCATCGTCAAGCTTAGGAAACTAGAGGAATTGTACTGGGAGGAATGAGGCATTCCAAGTAGCGGGAGTAGCTAAAACATCTGCTCCGGAATCCTTCAGCTCCTGGTTGTCTTCCACACTAGGGTGCTCATCTCCGTGAAGAAAGAAAAAGCTGTGACTCTCACCCTGGACAAAGACATGTCCTTTTCCATTCTGCTGCATCGCGTCTGGAAGAAGCATCCAGTCAACGTAGACTTTCTGGGGATCTACATCCCTGCCACAAACAAGTTCTCGCCCAAGGCACACGGACTAATAGGTAAAGTGCCTCTCCGCCGTCTGGCACACGCGGGGCCGCTCTAGGTCTCGCGACTCGGGCGGTGGTGGTCAGAAGTTGGGGAGGTGGCAGGCGTGACGATGGGGCAGAGGACCAACATGGCAACTGGAGTGCAAAGGCGTCCAGGGACAGCATCTCAGCATTGCAAACTGGGCGAGCTCAAAGAAAGGGCAGAACCATGTTAAGTTTAATGCTGAAATTTTCTTTTAACTGCAGTGGGATGGGCTGGTTTAGGAAGTCTGTGATGACAAGCAGGGCATCCACGTCAACAGTTCCTAGCATTTTAAGAAGGGTTGAAATGTAAGCCTGTGACACCACAAACAAACCTATTCCTATGACTTGAGCTAAGCTCGCCGGTGTGGGTCTCACCTGCTGTCATCAGATGGGCAGTGTTTATTGATGGCCCAACGGGCGGACTTTATGTATAAAGAGGCTGTGAGAGGGGCTCTCAGGAAGAACTCCTCCTTCCCACTGCTGCTCTTTTTACCTTTCCATGTGTCTTTTTACCCTGGAAATTCTGGTGGGAGAGCCAACATGTCACTCAAACCTATCTTTTTATTTTACTTTGAGTCACATGTAAACGTTTGAGCTTTGCTTCACTAGGACAGTTCATGCACGAGCCAAAGATACACATCTCCAATGAGAGACCAGGAAAGGACCCCAAGAAGCCAGAGGCAATCATGGAAGTGAAAGGACAGAAGCTGATTGTCACCAGGTAGGACCGGGATGCATAAGCCAGTAACAAAAAGGGTCTCTGTAGGACTGGACTCGTACAGTCAAATACAAGAGTTAAAAAAGCCATTTTAAGCTCGACCTCTGTCAAACACAACAATGCACCAAGAGTAGACATATATACAACACTTGCATGAAGACACTTTAGCTAGCCCACCTTAAATGTCAATGTCTATGTAAGTAACTGTGCATCATGAAATGCCAAGACTTTTTCATCTTTTTATTATTCTTATCTTCATACATTAGAAGCTCTATGGTCACAAGTTGGATAACTGCAAAAGTTGGTGCATTGGTTATTTTACTGCCAATGGGACAAAATAGCTGGCATACACAATTTAAGGGAGGGGAGGTTAAATGTGGCTCATGGTTTTGGGGTTCCAGTCCATGCCTGGCTGGATCCGAGGCAGAAAAGGCATGGTGGAGTAATGCTGCTCACCTCATGCAGCCAGGAAGTGGAGGGAAAGGAGGTGGGAGGGGGATCAACCCTCCAAAGGCATATGCCTCTTTCACCTCCACAGTCTAAGCACCTTCCAAAACCCCAACTCTGAACATGTGAGACTTCCATGTCTAAACCATAACAGTTACCCAGAGGAAGAAATCATAAAAACACCCATGAACCACGAAAGTAGTATGGTTTTATGAATATGAATTTTTATATTCATACAAAAAGCCTTCTCTATGAGTGTGGATTTTACTGAGTGGATTTTTGTATAGCTTTTTTTGCACAAATCATATCCCTATGCTCCATCCTGAAGTGAGAACTTACACACTTGTAAAACATTCTGAGTGCAAACTTTTTATACATCTTTATAGTTTTTTCCAGTGTTTTACAGTTGTCTAAGCCATGCCTGGATCAATATCCTTTTAAAGCAATTTGTGTCTTTTAAGAATTTTTATAAAGCAGCCAATATTGCTTTCTTAGAAACAACTTTCCGATCACATATGTCATACGCTCAATGAAGTCGTATTACAGTAACAAACCATAAAATTATGGTAAGTGCCACTACAAAAACTAGATTTGTGACCTGAAACAGTGGGTTCTTAGTGTTCCACTAAGCTGGCACTGGTTTACAAGATAGGGAACACTGAGTCACCAATGGGCACCAGGGAGCACGATGACGCAATAGCGAGCACCCGTCAGTCATCAGTTATGCAAAGCCTGGTGAAAGCGCATCTATTATATGGCAAAATTACGTGCTGGGCCTGACTGTCATCCACCGCATGCACATCATGTTGTGTAGCTGAAGCAGAGCTGACCTGTGGGCTCAGTAGTTACATATTTTTATGGCTTTTTGATGGCAGTACGCCTTGTACCTTTGCAAATCACTTGTTTCTTTGCCCTGCAAGTGAGAGACATTAATTTGCTCAAAACAGCTGGCATCCTCCTTGAAAAAAACACTCATCCATGAAGTGTGCATAGATGTTTCTGGGTGAAGGATGAGATTAGCCTACAACTCTTTGTAGTTTGATTCCTGCCTTCTTCCCACTTGAATTTGCTGCTTTTTACCTTGCTGGAAAGGTCCATGAGGTTCAGCCTCTGTGTGGGTTATCTGAATGATCTAAAGACATAATTCTTCTTTTCTGCCCTTCCAACAATAACCTCCAGACTCGGACATTTTAACACCAATCTCTAGATTCTGACACTACATACAACTTGGGTAAGGAGGGTGGGGGCTGGGCAAAGATGGTCGTAAGAAGGGGCATAAAAACCAGCAAGGGACAGAGGTATGTGGGGCTTAATGTCCCAGTATAGGCACCCTTGTTCCCGACCACATGCCCCATTTTCCTTGCAGAGGCTTACAGAAAGACTACAGAACGGACATTGTGTTTGGAACAGATGTTCCCTGTTGGTTTGTGCACAACAGTGGAAAAGGTTTCATCGACGGATATTACAAGGATTACTTCGTGCCTCAACTCTACAGCTTCCTGAAACGACCGTAAAGGTTTACAGTTTTGGAAATTCCCTGTATAAATACAGACTTTTTTCCTCTGTCACTTTTGTAGTCCTTTCTCCGTGTGAATAATTTTTTTAAAGAACCCAACCAATGGTAATTGAGTGAGTCTGTTAACACATCTGAAGAAAAGAAATATTTTGCAAAGAAGCATTAAGATTTTGTTGCATTTTTCAGAGGCTAAGGAGTGTTAATCAAGGTAACTCAAGGGAGAGCAGCTGTGGCGGTTCAAGCTGCCATCAAGGCAGAGACCTGTACGTGGCACTTACCATCATGATTTCACTGTTGTTGAATCGGGGTCCTCAACCTTGCAGATTGAGCACACTTTTTAGTTACATAGGAAAGTTCAGTTATGAGGTTACTGGTGAACATGAAAATGAACAGGGAAGGTTACTGATCTTAGCTGCTCTGTACAGATTTATACTACTATCCTGTTGCTCTCTGTAGAGATAACTTGGCTACGGTACCTGAGATGGCCCAAAACTCTTGGCTACGATTCCCCCATAGTGTTGGCTTTTGAGGTCCTTTTTAATTCGTGAAGCCTGAATTAGTCACAGTGGTCCAGGGAAATAAAAGGAATAGGTTTATTAAAAGGATTGGTTTGCATAATTATGGAGGCTGCTAAGTTCAAAATCTGCAGTGAGCCAATAGTACTACAGAGCCAAAAGAGCTGACATTGCAGTTGAAAGGCCTCAGGTAGTAACACCGACGCTGCAGATGAAGTCTGAGGGCACTCTGCTGAGGACTGTCCTTACTTGGGAGCGAGTCATCTGTTTTGTTCTATTCTTCGACTTTGGACAAGGCCCGCCACGTTAAGGAGGAGAATCTGTTTTACTCAAGTTCACCAATTTAAATGTTAACCTCACACAAAAATACCCTCTTAGAAACATTTGTAACTATATTTGATGAGCTGTCTGGACACCCATTGCCCAGTCAGACTGACATAAAATTAATCATTGGAAGGCTTAGGTGAACAGCCATTCTCTGTTCACACATTCTCTACATAAGATACAATACAATTGGGCAGGTGTCTGCTTATGAAATGTCAATCACCTAACAGTCTTGCCTCTCTGAGATTATGTGATGATCTCCCTGGAGTTTCTGTTGCTTCTCAAATTCTCTACACACTTAAAATGGCTCAGAATGCTACCTCAATGGCTAATTGTATTGCATTGTGATCACTAAATGACAGAGAATCACAGTGCCAAATTCTCTAGAACCCCCTCCAGCTGCGAATCATGTAACATAGTGTGTAGAACTTAAATTGTTTCTAAGAGTAGGGGCTGGGGATTTAGCTCAGCGGCAACGCGCCTGCCTGGCAAGCGCAAGGTCGTGAGTTCGGTTCCTGGTACCGGAAAAAAACCAAAAAAACCAAAAAAAAAAAAAAAAAACTTAAATTGTTTCTAAGAGTAATTATGTTAGCTCCCCCCACTGCGACACCACACCACACCTGAGAATAACAAATTAAAGGAGGAGAGGTTTACTGTGGCTCACAGCTTCAGAGGTCTCCGTCCATGGTCCGCTGGTCCCATTGCTTTTAGGCCTGTGGTGAGACAGAAACATCATGGCGAAGGAAAGCTGCTACCTCGTGGCAGCCAGGACACAGCTAGAGAGTCAGAGAGGGAGGGACTGGGGACAAAAAATAGTCCCCAAGGTTATGCCTCCATGGCCCACTCCCTCCAGTCAGGCCCCACCATTTACATTTCCATCATCTCCCAAAAATGCCATCAAAGTATGAATCCATAATAAGATTCAACTAGTCCACGGATCAGGTTGGAGGCCTCAGATCCAATCACCTTCCAGAACTCCACCTCAGAACGTATCAGCCTTTTGGGAGATTTTTAGATCCAAGCCACAACAAATACTATTTACATTCTAAACCTTATATTAGACTTCACTTCAAAAAAGAGCAGTAAATTAGTCCTAACAAAAAGTTAATGAAGTTTATAAGGCAGAATAAATGAACTACAAATTTGAAGTAAAATCATAATTATTAAGTCTGCACTAGCATAGACAGTGGGTGGTAAGGTGCAAGTTTATAATTTATTCCTTTGTTTATAGTTTTCCTTAAAAAATTCAATTCCTAAAATAAGTACATTTTCAAAGGTCACATTGGTGAAATTGGCCTTAAAAAATAGATACATTTTGATGAAACTTCCTTTCCATAATTTGATAGAATTTATTTTTCATTGCAGAAAGTAGGCAAAACTCCTTTGCACATATCCAACCCATAATTAAATAAGCAAGTGTCTCTTTAGATTAATTATAAAATATTAAAGAAAGGTGATTATTTCTATAATCTAAAAATAACTGCAGCGCTAAAGAGGTAAATGGAACAACTTTTTCATTATATTCTTTGATAAAAATGGCCAACTATGACACATTTTTCAAAATTCAATATATCTTTTCTATTTCTTATTTCAAAAATATTAATCTTAAAATGCTAATATATTCAATACAAACTTCTTATAATTAATTCTATTACTTGGTAAAAATCTTGATTTTAAAATAGCTACCATTAGATATTTAAGTATAGTTGGATTCCTAGTATTTTATGTGTTGCTCAGTGACTACAAAAATAATAATGAAAAGCTATGCAAGATACTGGGTAACAGGGTTCTATAAAAAGAAACTATTTAAAATCACATCTATACATGTAATTCAAATTATCAAACCTGTATAAATAGTTGGCATCTTGAAAGTCACTGCCTGGAAAAGTGATAATTGTTCATACAAATCCCTGTGGATACCAGAAATATGCTTTGTCTATTATTTTGAATTATTTTGAATTTTCAGTGAATAATCACGTTGAGATGTCACACAAAGGAACCAAATTAACAGGAATATTTGGAAAGGAACAATTTCCACTGGCTATCCGCTGATCAGGTCTGAAAGAAGAGGCCCTCAGCAAGGAAGAAAACCGTCCTGAGAATGACCCGAGTGTGACCCGAGTGTGACCCGAGCGTGCTTATCTATTCTTTGGTGCACTTGACAAACAGCTGGTGGTGGGCCAACAGCTCTGTACAAACTATTAGGAATTAATTTTAATCATAACTTAGCAAAGTGATCTTTAAAAATAACTATTTCTTCCTTAGGGTATCTTTAACTCTCCAGGACAGAGGGTGTGGCAGAGTGTGTATGCAGCAGGCATGAGGTCCGAGGTTTACCCCGGAGCACCCAACTATACAATAAATGAAATCTCCAAGTCGTGAAAGCAAGACGCTATGGGACACTCTTGTCTTGAGAATCCAATAACGAATCTCAAACAGAAACTAAAATCAGCAACACTGAATCGTTTTCAATGAGAGCTTTTTTGTCTTAAGGTATCTCGTTATTCTTTGGACATACTGCCACTTGCTTGGCTTACGAGGGACTCCTAGAATGCTAGTATTTAATTTAAATCTCAGCTGGGTCACTGTGGGGCTACTACTGGGAGATGTGCTAACCATCGTTCAGACTTACACAGCCTACGTTCAAAGATTTCCTCAAACACCCACCACACAGCCATCGCCGAGCCCATCAGACACACGCGTTCTGCTGTCAGGAAAGTGTAAGCTTTATGTCTGAGAACAAACAGATTCTTGGCTCAGATCATACTTGGCCACAGTTTACGTTTGTTTTTAAGTTAGTTTTAAGTTATTGTGCTTTTAAATTACCAAAAATTAGACAAGTTTTTTGGGGGGTTGAAAGCTGTCAAAGAAATAACTAAATGAACAGTATTAAGAATCATCTCATTCAATGTGTCTAACAAATTAAGTATCAAAACTTTTTCAGTAAGGACTGGAGTGTTATTTTAATGCAAGTCACTCTACATGCTCTAAAGATCTCATAATAACCATCAAGTGGCATCTTTTCTCCAGCCTTATCCAAATGGATGAGATAAAAGTGACTCCAAAAATGATTACATGGCTGTCTAGAAACATACAGTGCTTTCATGCTGTAATAATTTAGAATGAGCGGGCATGGTGTCACATGCTTGTCATCTTAGCACTTGGGAGGCTGAGGCAGGAGGATTGCCAAGAGTTTGAAGCCAGCCTGGGCTACAAGATGAGCCTGAACTACATAGTGACACCCTGTCTCAAAACAAACAAAAAAACACAACTTAGAATTTTTTTCTTAACATTTTTCAGACTTAAATCTACTTCATACTTTTTCTGAAATATTAACGAATGTAACAGAAAAAAGAGACATTTCCCTCCCCTACTATAATGATTCAAACATACAAATAATATTTCCAAGGTTATTCAGTCAACCTGACTACAATCAAGGCTTAGGGGACACACTTTCCGAGGTTATCAGCGACCCCTGCAGTGAGCCCCCAGTCTCCTGCCTGGAGTTATGGCACATGGTGGAAAGAAAGAGCAAGAGACCAATAGGGACGCAGCAGGGATCCGGATGACCAGCTATTTCTGGGAAACAAAAGCTGGCTGTGAGGAACCCAGAACCTTGGTGTCTGTTCATTACATTTGGTCAAGGGCAGGGAGTGAAGGGCAGGGGTGTTTCCAGAACAGTAATGTGACTGCTGCGGGCTAGGAGGAGCAAAGCACTCCTGCTCGGACGCGGCCGAGACAGCGGGCAATGAGGAAACCGGCTTCCCCGGCTTGCCCTGCGAGCGCCACCGCCGTCACTAGCCGGAGGGCTTCCAGCTGTGACCAGAAAATAGCACGCAGTTTCCGTGTTCTCACGTGGCTCACAGGGCAGGTATGAACAGCTCTGGACGTCCCCTAGGCTCAGTGTATAATTTATGGCCCCCGACAAGGGCTGACCTTGTGTTCTAATTCTGTGCTTCTGTTTTAGCAAAGCAGGAATTGAGGCACACAGTGGTATCAGTTCTCGTAGGCCCAGTTAAGGCAGGGCGATTTTTAATTAGTGCCCAGACTATCAAGTTTCTCTCTACTAGCTGTCATGGCATTTGCCTGTCACCACACTCTCATTCCCTGCACAGCTCCCCACTCGTGGTCTATACCCGCTCCCCACTCGCGTCGCCCACCTAGTGCAGCGGCTTACCTACTAGAGGTGCTTGCTTAAGTGTTTACTGAATGAATGTGACCTACTATGTCAGAAAAACTGATAGGTGCTTCGAAGTAGACGCCAGAAGACAAAGGGAAAAAATCAGCAAATAAGGCAACAGGGTTTAATGGCATTCCAACAACGAATACTCAGGGAATTCCGTCTTCCAGAACAGCAATGCTAATGATTTGGTAAGAATTTAAGCATGCTGATAAAAAGAACAGCTTTTTAAAAATATGAGGACAACCCAGAGTGGAGAAAGAAATTTATGAAAGACATATCTGATAAACGAGTGTTATAGGTAACTAAATTAGATAAAATGTAGGCAGTCAGATAGGGTTATGCCCTCTAAGGAGCCAGAGATGGGCACCTCCAGCTGAGGGCCAGACCTCAAGACAAAGGATAAAACATGTGCACTCACATACTTCCTGAGGCTAAACATCAGGGACTGGTATTCTAAACAGGTATGATCACCTTGAGGAAGCCAGGAAGTCACTAACCCAACCACGGACAGGAAAAGCCCCTGCTCTGTATTCATGTCCACCTGCTTTGTGACTTGCTTCCCCATTTGATCCCTATTTAATCAATTTTACCTGAGCAATTATGCTTGTAATCTTACAGGCTGACCAGTTTTGTCCCACCCCATGCCCACCTCGCTATTTCCCATGTTTCCAACTTGGGCCCTCCTTACGTCATATATATGCTCTATAAAAATCCCTAGAAAAGGCAGGGTCCTCGGCAACCCACCCAGGACCGCTTCTGTCTCTCTCTAGGACAGAAGCTTTCTTTCCCTCAATAAATATATTCTGCTCTTAAAAAAAATTTTTTTTACTTAAAAAAATTTTTAAAAAGACTGGTATAAAAGCCTTTCAAAACTCAACAGGAAAATGACTGACCCAATTAAAAAATGGTCAAAAGAACTGACAAGATGCTTCACCAAGGACAGACAGATGGCAAATAAGCAGCGCGTGATGCTCAGCGTCAGATGCTGTTGGGAGCCCGCACGTTAAAACCACGAGACACCACGACACCCATCACAGAAGAGCCAAAGTCCAACACTAACAGCACCACATGCCCGCAAGGACGGGAGGCAGGAACTCTCCACTTACTCTGGATGGAAACGCCAAGTAGTACAACACTTCGGAAGACAGCTTGGTGGTCCCTTGCAAAAGGAAACATACTCATAGATAATCCAGCAATCATAATCCTTGATATTTACTGAAATTAATTAGTACCTGCACGGAAGTCTGTGCACAGGATGTTTATAGCAGCTTCATTCTTCATTGCCGGTAACTTGGAAGGAACCAAAGTGTCTTTGAGAAGCTAAAAGGATAAACGATGAAACACTGGGACAATGCAGTACTATCCAGCATTAAAAAGAAATGAGCTATCCACCCATGAAGAGACAAGGAAAAATTTAAATGCACATTAGTCAAAGAAGTTAATTTTAAGAGGCTACCCATGCACGATGCTAACAGACAATGTTCTGGAAAAGATGAAGCTATGGAGACAGTAAAAAGATGGGGGCTCAGTGGGGTGGGGAGGGAACAAGGGGCAAAGCATGGGATTTTCAGGGCAGTCAAAGTTCTGCCTTGTGTTCCACACTATAGTATTGGACACGTTATCACACTTTGCCAAAGTTCACAGAAACTACTCTAAAAGTCTAGTTCTTATAAGAGAGAGTTTAGATACTGCACGAACAGAGGTACAGGACCTAATTTTAGGTGTCTGCACTCATTCTGCTGAACACCTCTATTGGCCTATAGGAACATAGGGGAAAAAATGTCTTATGGTCTACGATCCCATTTTTGTGCATCAGATTTTTAAATTAAATTTAATCTGATGTACACTACTTTATTCCATTCTGAGATAATTCAAGTAGATGCTGGAGAAAAGAACTACATATGAAGAATAGGGAATGAATTATTTTTCTATGAAGAAAACCACTTCCTGACTTTGGGCAGAAGTGTATATAATGTCACATTTTATTTATCCCACTATTACCAAGAACTTTTCTCCTTATTGAAATTCTTCCTGCCAGACTTATACCCACATAGGCTTCAAATATGTGGCTCCATTTACTGACAGTACCACTCACTGATGTTAACTGAACACTTACTACATGCCAAGCTTTATGTCTACACCTTATATATATTTTCTTTTAACTTTATGTATTTTCTGCAGTTCTTACATCAACCATACAGGACATAGCAGTTTTGACAATTTATACACTAAAACTATTGCAACTCAAGGACATCAGCTCTTGAAGGTTATATACCTAGCGAGCACAACATTCAACCTAAAGTCCGCCCAGCTATGAGGCCCAGCTGTTTTCCACGGTTGCACACTGTAAAGTTGTCTTGAAAGGTGACAGCTGTCATTGGCCCTCCTTCACTCAGTTCAAGCCAGCCAGCCCGGGCAGGGGGGCCATCTGGTCAGCAGTAGATCCCATCCTTTCCTTGGGAGTGATTGATTGTCCAGGAATGGTCCAATCAGACTCGATTCTCGGCCTCCCGTCTGAATCATTACAGAAGATAGTCTGTTCTCCTGGTGCTGCTGAAAGGTTGAGATATAAACCTGGAGACCTCCTGAGTCATCTTGCTCTTTTAAGAGTGCATGAGAATGGCTAACAGAGAAACCACAGGCTCAGAAAACAAGCTCTGATTCACATTCAGATCCCGCTGCATGTTTATTTTCAGTTAACCAAACTGTAAATTTCTTGTGTGTGTGCATGCACATAGGGGACGTATAAACAAGTATGAGGTAGGTTTCCAATCTTTTACATCGCAAATCATGTTCCCTATTTATTTAAAAATGTACAGTTCAAACACTGCTAATACGATACAAGTACTATGTAAAACAGTTTGCCAGTTCTTTAACATATTAACCATGATGTAAGTTATAATGAGACTGTGGGAATTCAAAGTGTCTGTCCACAGAAAGTCTCATACACAGATGTCATAGCAATGTTCTAACAGCCAGCAAGTCCATCAGCTGATGAGTGGAAAGCAAAATGCAGTCTATCCACACAGTGGAGTAATAGTTGGCAATAAGAAGAAATAAAGTATTGCTACATATCACAACGTGGATGAACCTTGAAAACACTAGGCTTGGTGTAAAGACACCCACTGTGGAAAAAAAAAAAACAACCCAGAACTTACTCCATTTATTTAAAATGTCCAGAATAGGCAAATCTAAAGAGATAGGAAGGCCGTCAGTCACTGCCAGGGATGGCACGGGTTGAAGAAGAATGCAGACTGTGTACAGGGTTTCTCTGGGCGGTGACAAAATATATCCCCCAAAATCTAGTGCAGACGGCTACACACCTCTGCAAACATACTAGAAGCCAATGAACTGCACACTCTAAATGGGCAAACTGTATGGTACGTGAATTATATCAGAATAAAGGTGCTATCATAGCTTAGTTTTTAACATTTTAATCATAATTACAGTTCAACATTACTATCCACTACTGAAAATATAAATTTTAGAGTATATGAAAGATTTCCTCCAATTATAGGATTCTAAATTGTCTTATATAAAATACTTCTCAATATTTTTAATGAAGATAAAAAATCATCAAAGAAATATTACAAAGAAAAGAAAAAAACAAGGTCAAAATTATAAAAAAATTAAGAAGGTCAAAGTGACACTTTAGGAGACATAATTAAATTTTCCATAAATTTAGCTAAACACTTACACAATAATATTTAAATAAGTCTATCTGTTTTATACAAAGAAATACCCTAACACAGTAGAGTCTCGTAATACTTTGGCAAACACCAATGTGATGTTTTAGGATTTTAATACGTTGTTAACAATTTTCCAACTCAGGCAAGTTTAGAAATATCTTCGTATTGAATTCCTTCAACTCTGCGTCCTTTCAAAGGGCCCTAAAATTAAAATAATTTAAGATTAAAAACATATGTATTTATGAAACATTAAAAAAATGAGATCACATTTGTGGATGTAAATTTACCTTTTCCATGTCTTTAAAACATCACTATGGTATCTACTGTTTCTATACACCTAGGAATTTTAGATGCTATTGTGAAAGGTGTTGTTTCCGTGATTTCTCTCTGTGAGTTTGTTGTTCATGTCCAGGAATGCTATTGATTTCTGAGTGTTGATTCTGTATCCAGCTATGCTGCTAAATTTGCTTATTAAGTCTAGCAGTTTTTTAGTGGAGTTTTTGGGGTCTTCTATGTAGAGTATCATGTCATCTGCAAATAAATGATAATTTCACTTCTTCCTTTCCTATCATTATTCCTTTTATTTTTTTGTCTTGTCTAATTGCACTGGCTAAAGTTTCTAGGACTATGTTGAATAAGAGCGGAGCCAGTGGACATCCTTATCTTGTTCCTGATTTTAGAGTAAAAGCTTGCATTTTTTGTCCATTTAGTCTGATGTTGGCTGTTGGTTTGTCATAGATGGCTTTTATCAGATTGAAATGAAGACCATCTATTGCAATTTTCTGTAGGGTTTTTATCTTGAATGGGTGCTGGACTGTGTCAAAAGCTTTTTCTGCATCTTCTGAGATGACCATATGATTTTTGTGCTTGGTTCTGTTACTATGGTGTATTACATTTATTGACTGATGTATGTTGATGTACGCAGGATTCCTGCATCCCTGGGATGAATCCCACTTGGTCATGGTGTATAATCTTCTTGATGATAAACTGGCATTCTGTTTGCCAGTGTCTTCCTGAGGATTTTTGCATCTATATTCACTAGGGATTGGCCTGTAATTCTTTTAGATGGGCTCTTCTCTAGTTTTGGTATCAGGGTAATGCCCGATTCCAGGAATGAATTTGGGAGTACTGCTTCCCCTTCAATTTCATTAAAGAGTTTGAGAAATATTAATGTTAAGTCTTCTCTAAATTTCTTGTAGAATTCAGCAGTGAATCCGTCAGGGCCTGGGCTTTTCTTTGTTGGTACGTTTTTAATTACATCTTTGCTTTCGTTGATTGATACTGGTCTATTTAGGAATTTTTGTTCTTTATTCAGCTTCAGTAATTCAAATGTTTCTAGGAACCTCTACACCTCTTCTGCATTTTCCATTTTGTTCGTGTCTTGGTTACTTTTCTTTCATTGCTGAGACAAAATACCTGACACCCCAAATTAAGGAAGGAAAGGTTTATTTAGCTCACAGTTTGTGGAGGTTTCAGTCTATACTTGGCTGGCTCCAATGCAGAGTGGCACATGGCAGAGGGCAACAGTTCACGGCGGCAGAACACAGCAAATCAACACGAGCAAAAGGAAGGAGCAGTGGCAAGTAGCCTCTTTCCCTCCCTTACACTGTATCGAACCACCTGTCCCAGGGCAGGTGTAGCACTCACATCCATAATTCCAACATTGGACATGAATCAATCATAAACTCTGGAAGTCCGCCCCATGACTGCAAAAGGCTTTGTGGGGACATCCAGACACAAACCATAACAATTAGAATACAAGGTTTTGAAGGAGGTGTAGATGATCTTCTGGATTTCTGCAGGGTCTGTTGTGACTTCACCCTCTTTATTCCTAATTGCATGGATTTTCTTTCCTTTTTTTGGTAAGACTGGCTAAGGGTTTGTTGGTTTTATTTAATCTTTCAAAGAACCAACTCTTCAATTCATCGATTCTTTGTATTTTTTTTTTAGTCTCCAGTGTGTTAATTTCTGCTCTGATCTTTATAATTTCTTTCCTCATATGAGCTTCTGGCTTAGTCTGCCCTTCTTTTTCTAGAAGTTTGAGGTTCAACATTAAGTTGTTTATTTCTGCTTGCTCTATTTTCCTATATGGGTATTCACTGCTATAAATATCCCTGTTAGGACTGCTTTCATTGTGTCCCATAAGGTCCAGTATGTTGTATTGTTGTTATCATTTAACTGTAGAAACTGTCTAATTTCTTCTTTAATTTCATCTGTGACCCATTGGTTGTTCAGGAGGGTGCTATTTAATGTCCACGTGTTTATGAAGTTCTTGTGGATTCTTTTGCTATTGATTTTCAACTTCATTGCACTATGATCTGACAATATGCATGGGATAATTTCAGTTCCTCTGCATTTACTTAAGCATGTTCTGTGGGGTAGTATGTAGTCTATTTTGGAAAACATCCTGTGTGAAGCTGAGAAGAATGTGTATTCTGGTATGGGGTGAAACACTCTGTAGACATCTACTAAGTCCATCTATTCAAAAGTTTGGTTTAGTTCTATTATTTCATTGCTGATTTTTTGTCTAGTTGATCTGTCTTTTTGTGACAGTGGGGTACTGAAATTCCCCGATACAATTGCATTAGTGCTTATTTGATTTTTTATGCCCTTGTTTTATATACTTGGGTGCACTGTTATTTGCTGCATATATATTTATGGTTGTTATCTCAGCCTATTGGACTGCTCCCTTTATAAGGATGTATGACCTTCTTTATCTCTCTTAATCAGTCCTGGCTTAAAATTCACTTTGTCCACAAACAGAATAGCTACCCCTGCTTTTTTCTGAGTTCCTGTCACATGGAGTATTGTTTTCCATCCTTTGACTTTCAGTCTATGAATTTCTTTTTGAATTAAATGTGTTTGTTGTATGCAGCATATTGTTGGAACATCTACGAATTTTAAAAATAATCTATGGCATCCCAACTAAACATAAAGCTATTTTCTTCGGTGCTATTTGAAATGTGTTATTGGTAGACATTGTGACAGAGTGGCTAGCTGCTTGTTATCTCCCTGCTACATGTCCTTACTCCCCTAGTGAGTATGTGTGGCTGGCGAGGGAGCGCCAGCCCACAGCAGCGCAGCAAACACAGTGATGCCCACAAGTGGTGCCCAGCCAGGCCAGGCCCCCCTTGCGATGTGCCGTGCTCTTCTGTGGATGTCGTTTGTTGAATATGACAGGGCCATTGACGGAAAGGACCCTGCATCCACAAGGTATTACTTAGGAAAGGGCTACAGTCTGATCAAGAATATCCACTCTTTTAGGCCAGAGGATCACAAGTTCAAGCAGAGCATGGACAATGTAGTAACTTCATGAAACCATGTCACGAAAATAAAAAAGGGCTAGGGATACAGCTCAGTGCAAAAGCCCTGGGTTTAATTCCAGTACTGCTGAAAAAGGCCAAAAGAAGATTACCTATTTTTGATTTTTAATATTTCTACCATGTTTGTGTCTTTATCTACTGGGGGAGAGGGTTCCTTTTATACCTAATTTTTTTTTTTTTGGCTTTTTTTTTCCGGTACCCGGAATTGAACTCATGACCTTGTGCTTGCCACGCAGGCGCTGTGCCACTGAGCTAAATCCCCAGCCCCTATACCTAGTATTTTTATAAGCAATAAAAATGCTCAAACTTGCTTGTCTAGTTAATAGGACTGGTCTGTACTACAGAAATTGGGTCCAACTTTCTTCTTCCATTTACAGCCAAAGAAAGAAAAACGAAAAACTTCAAAAGCAGGGACAACCTGAGCACACAACGCCTCAGAGTACAGATTTTTGTCTTTGTTAAGCAAACTTACAGTTTCAATGACTATAGTTGCTGAAAAAGTCTTTTCATTGATGGATTCTAGGGTACCTTCATTTCCTCTGTAACCTCCATTTAAAACTAGAATTCTTTTTCCTATAATAGAAAACAATATAAAACTTAATGCAAAGGAATGTGTACCTTCTTCCTACTTCATTACACCAAAATGCCTTACACTGAGTGAACATAATGAAAACCAAAGCCCTTCGCTTAGGACTTCTTCATCACTTAAGAAAAAGGTAGTATTCTACAGTGGGGTTTGTAAACACTTTAACATTATATGACTCCTCATTTTTCTCATTTATTTGTTAGAGGAGTATGTTTTCAGTTTGCAGAGTTCAAGGTACTTGGAGAAAATGCTCAGAGCTCAGAAGTACTCAGGGAAAATTTAGTTTAGTTTACTACTTCAGTTTATCCTTTTTCAAAATTCTTAAGAAGATGTGGCAGCTTTTTTTTGTTTTGTCTTTTTAAGATAGGGTCTTGCTACACAGTTCAGGCTGGCATTAAGCTCACTTCGTAGCCCAGGCTGGTCTTGAACCTACAACAATCTTCCTGCCTCAGCCTCTCAAGTGCTGGATTACAGGTGTGTGCTACCACATCTGGCAGCTTGGCAGTTTTACAAAGATTTAAGCTATATGACTGACCTATCCTAAGTATTTACCCAAGAGAAAACAAATTACAGTATTCACATAAAGACTTGTACAGAAATGCTCACAGCAGTTTTATGCATATCTGTTAAAAACTGTCAACAATCCAAATGTCTATCAACAAGTCACTGGAAAAACAAACTGTGGTATGCCTATCCAGTGACATACTATTCAGCAATAAAATTAACGTGAACAATAACAGATATACACAAAGGCATGGGTGAATCCAAATCACTGTGTGAAGTGAAAGAAGGCAGACTAAAAGAAAAAAAGAAAAAACAAGATACACAGTATGATGTTACTTCTATAAAATTCTAGAAAAATAACCACGTAGAGTGACCGCAAATCTCCTGTTGCCGGGGAAGGCAAGGTGGCAGGAGTAGAAGACAGTGTGGAGGGAAGTAAAGGCAGAAATGCATCACCTTGATTATACTGCTGGTCTCAATGGAGTATTCATATCTGAAAACTGATCAGTGCATTTTTGATGTAAGTGGAACTTACTGTACATTGTATACCTCAGTGGTGCCGAACCTACGGCATGCACGCCGCCGCGGGCTGTCTGTACCACGGAAGGCTCTGAAACGTTTGCCATCACTTGGTACGTATGTCAGTAAGTCTGATAAAACAGTTTTCTAACTTTTCTAAGAGGAGTTTTATTTTGGAAGAAAGAAGAATAAAGAATATGATAAGTAGAGCTGGGAGTGATTACACCTGTAATCCCAGCACTCTGAAGGCTGAAGCAGAAGGACTGTAAATTCCACCCCAGTCTGGACAACTGAGCACAACTCCGTCTCAAAAATAAAAAATGTAAAAAAGGGGGCAGAGAATGTAGCACAGAGTGAAGGCCCTAAGTTGAATCCCACAACCAAATATAAAAGAATACAGTAATCTAAGACATTATCAATGCACCAGAATGATATCCCCAAGAAGATTCTAAGTCAGAGGCAAACTACCTCCCCAAAGTAGGATTTACCCCTAATATGAGCAAACATTCAAATGACAAGGACAGTCAAGAGACAAAATAAGTAAAACAGATTTCTGATATCTCAAGTAGCTAAACACAGATATCAATAAGCCCAGTATAACGGATTTTACCCGTATATGTCTGTATTTGGCCTAGGGGGGAAAATGTATTCTGGAAAGGGAAAACTCTATGGCACAAAACCATGTGACTGGAGGACTACTGTGCTCCCTGAAGTCATAGGAGGTTTGTTACCTGAGCAGTTAATATTCCCGACAGGGAAACATGTCTGTAACTATCAGGTAATACCTAAAATCTATGGTTTTAAGAAAGGAATCGCTCACTTTGATGGGACACATATCACACGGTCTGCAAACAGACTTACCTGGTGCTGGAATCACTGTCTCTAAATGAGTCTGGTCAAGTTTCAGCTTGTCCCCAGAATCAATCATCTTTACGACGGCTGTGTATTTGTCAATCACCTCCTGTTGTGGAAAAGGAATACTTTCATAATAGAGGAAGTATGTGACTGCTAAGTTAAAAGAACAAAGGCCACAAAGGAGAAAGAAATTCCAATCAGAAGAAAAGAATTAGCGCCCCGGCCCCTGATAAGAGTTAACTCGCACACTTCTCAATAAAGAACTCAACCCTTGAAATTTTTCTCTGGAAAGAACATGAAAATGGTCATCGTAGAATAAGAATTTAAGAAATCTGGGAGGGGTACTTTTGCCCGGAGAAGAAGGGCAGTTTCTACACACACAAAGCTGGGTTTTAGAATGAGATGGTATTCTCATTCTCAGAAAGGACTGGAATTGCAAAGCGTGGAGCAGGCAAGGGCAGTTCCCACAGCTCTACACGAGAGAGCCGTGTTTGGCTGGGGGGAGTTGCGGGGATACGGCCCATCATCACACAGAGCAGGTTTACTGATGAACGAGCAAGACACGCACGCTAAGTCTTAAAGTGGTACCTACGGACTTCATAACACTATCGGCCCAGCAGGAAAACAGACCACCGCTGGAAAAGAGGCATTTCTTCAACAAGTATGTATTCAGATTTCATTTTATGGAATAATCAGAACCTTAGACACAAAACTTGTGCTACAAGGGTTTGATTTTCAAGGAATTTCAAAACTGCTTCACCTGGTTACCCACCAGCTTTTTTCAGAAATTCAATATATAACTTCATATCCTCACCTTAACGATACCCTTTTTCTTATGGTATTTCTCTCCAAGTTTTTTGGTTATAATTTTCACAACGATTTCCTAGAAAATAACAACAACAAAATAAGAATGAAGGAAAAGATGCAAATACCTTTTGTGTTTTACTTCTTAAACCACATTCACCAAAAACCATAGTAAAATATAACTGCTCTGCTTGATAAGAAAGCAGGGAGTTCTAATCTTTCTGGATGGTGGCTAAACATTTTGTTAATCATCTTTTTTCTCTCTCTCTTTTTTTTTTTTGCTTAATATAGTTACCAAGGGAGTGAAAGGACATAACATGGCCAATTTCTACAATGAAATTAAATTTAGGACTCTGTGCGCGCGCGCGCATGTGTGTATGCGCGCGCGCGCGCGCATGTGTGTATGCGCGCGCACATGTGCGTGGTACTGGGTAGTGATCTTGGGGCCTTCATATGTAACTATATCCCCAGCCTTTCTTATTTTTTATTTTGAGACAGGGTCTTCTCAAATCGCTAAGATGCCCAGGCTGAGCTCAAATTTACAATCCTCCTGCCTGAGTCTCCCAGACTTGGGGTTACAGGTGTGTGCTGCCGTGCCCAGGTGGTATCTGGGCTTTTCTCTGTGACTCTCCACTCCTCTAGTTCATGTCTTCCATAGACAGCTTCTTTCTCTTTGTCCATTCAAGAGAGCAAAGCAGCCCAGGGTATCACAGTTCTGGCGTTTGCTACTGATAACAAGTAATGAAAGAGTTTTACTGAGGTAGTAAAGAACTGAGTCTTTGAGCTTATACGTGATACTTTTCACAACATTTCTTTCTTACTAGGTTGCTTTGAATTTTTTATATAAATGGTATCCCTCCAGATCAGCTTTAGCTAGAACTATTATTCTTCTGAGAATCTCATCTCAGATGAGAGAGAAATGTCATATTAAAGAATCCTAAGTTTGCTGCTTTATTGTTGTTCTTGTGATTTGTATTAATTGTCTAAAAGCTAATAATGAAAATTAAATTGCCTGCTATTGCTATATTCCCTTCAGGGGAAGGCTATTTAATAGTAGAAAGACATGGTTTTTTTTTTGTTTGTTTGTTTTTTTATTTATTTTTAATTTAAAAAATTTTTTTATTTATTTTTGAGATAGGGTCTCGCTATGGCATTCAGACTGGCCTTGACCTCACTTTGTAGCCAGGCTAGTCTCGAACTCCCAATGCTCCTCCTGCCTCAGCCTCCCGAGTGCTGGGATTATAGGTGTGAGCCACCATTCCTGGTTAGAAAGACATGTTTTCTTCTTCTTTTTTTTTTTTTTTTTTTTTGGTACCAGGAATCGAACTAGGACCTTGCACTTGCCAGGCAGGCACTTGTGCCGCTGAGCTACACCCATCCCTGGCCCTAGAAAGACATGTTTAAAGAAAAACATTAATGTCTTATTCTTATGGCTATACTCTGCTAAGACTTCATAATTGAGGCCAATTAATACCAAAATATCTCTGATTCAATCATAATATTCCAATGTTAAACTTCTCAAAAACTCTCACTGGATTCTATTCTAGTCATCTGAAGATAATTCACCGTATGTCTGTTTTTGCTGACCCTTACGATAGATCTGTTCAAACTATTTCTTTTCTGAGTTTAAGAAATAAAGCCCTCCAAATCTGTCTCTGTGGACTGCTGATTATTTTAGTAAACTTGATACCCATTTCAAAGCAGGAGACACACTGAGTCATTAGCATACTGCTGGCAGAGCAAGACTTTTAACGTAGCATTCTGTGTGAGGAGCTATGAAAAATATGTACTGGCAGTAGAAGAAAATTATCTGACAGAAAATAAAATTTAATTGTAAGTACTGCCAACACAAACAGATTTTGGGGCCAAAACTCGAAACGTGCTGCCTTTTTGCCCTCTCTGTTGGTTTTCTTGTTCCTTTAAGCCAATGCTTCTTAGCCAAAGCAGACTCACTTGGGAGGTGGATAAAAAGCTACACATCACCCTGGGAGACTGGATGGCAGAAGTATGCAGCACATGATTTTGAAAAAAAAAAACTCTTAGGAAGTTTTGAATTATTTTCTGGTTAGTAACTACTGCTTTAAGCAAAATGCTTGATGTTTTCATAAACAATATATGAAACTGTTAATGTTCAAATGCCAGCTTCTCTAACAGGGAAAACAAATATAAATAATTCATAGACTGTTTCTTCCCTACTGGTCCTTCCATTCATCTTTTAAGTAAGAAAATTAGATTTTTCTCTTCCATGAGATATCCCCTACTCTACAATGACCTAAGCTTCTACTCACTGATCAAGACATCAGGAGGCAGAACTACACGGTCAAGGACCGCAAACCTGCACAGTTAGATTGCCAGAGAACTCTTGATTCCTCACTTAACAGATGACCTTGGAAAAGGATTTTATACCTCAAGTTCTACAGCTGTAAAGTGAGGGAGTAACTGTAACTAGGGCTGTTATGAGAATTAACTAGAACAGTTCATGTGACATGTTTATTTTCCATTAAACACAGCAAGTATTTTCACTGTAGGTAACTTCTGTCATGATCCTTCACTCGATCACAGTGCTTCCCACCATGAAAAAGATAAACTACAACACAGAAACTAAAGTATTTTCACACTGTGGGGAGAAGGACTATGATGAATTGCACTACAACTTTGGACGTCATGGCTTTTCAAAGTCAGTAATCTCATTCCCCAAATCAGAAATTATCTAAATAGTATTCTACTTTTCACGCCCCCTTTTCAGCCTTGAAGAAAAACTAAGGGCTCTGAAAATTTTAGGAAAACTTCACATAGTGCAAAGTAGAGCATCAGCAGATAGTAACTTAAGGCACTACAGTAAATGTTTAAAAACTACCTTAGGGGCTGGGGATTTAGCTCAGTGGCACAGCACCTGCTTGGCAAGCACAAGGTCCTGAGTTTGATTCCTGGTACCGGAAAAAAAACCCAGAAACTACCTTAAATTATTCTAAAAGAAGCAACAAGCAATTAAATATAAACCTTACTTCAGTTTGTAAATTAAGACTTGATTTTTTTCTACGAAGTCCCTAAATAGGTATTTTAATAAACCATAAACTGAAAATCAAAACTTTAGTTTACAATTCTACCTTTTAATCTTATTTCTGAAAATTCAATTTTTTGCCTTCTAGCAAAAAGTGACTGTAATTTCAGGTTCAAATTTAAGATGTCCATGAACAAATTTAGAACTAAGCTCCAGCTACATGCCTGGGTCATAAACATGAAGTAACCTCCAGCACAGCTGCAGTCAGTAACGAAAAGTCCAGTGGAGAAGAAGTCACTGTGAATTATAACTCACCCTATAACTTACACATATTTAAGAAAGTAAGTTATTTAGATCAAGTACTGTTTATTTTTTTGTTTTGTTTTTTTTCTCAGGTTCCGGGAACCGAACTCACGACCTTGTGCTTGCCAGGCAGGCGCTTTGCCGCTGAGCTAACTCCCCAGCCCCTAGATCAAGTACTGTTTAAATCATTCACTCAAATGAACACAGTATGTAAGAAGCTCCAAAGGAATACTCACAGGCTGTAGCCAGTAGTCTGTTCGAGAAGTTCTTTTCTTTTCCTCTTCTATCTGTAAAATGCATGAGACATTCATAAGATTATCTCTTTAAAATCCTTAATTTATTTCAACTTGGTCTTTTATTTAGCAAAATAACACCATGAAACCCATATCCCATGAAAGACTAATGACATAATTTGCAAGCTCTGATAAATACAAATAAACATTATCTGTAATTAGTTTGTGACTGGAAAAGAAACCTTGAACATTGACGTAAATGTCATAAAACAAATTAACTGACCCAGAAAACAAAACAAAGCGAAACCCCTATTTAGTCAATACTGCAAGACCATCTGCCGGGCCTACTTTACACCCTCCCGTGACCCGTCCTCCTGTGAGTGTCATGAGCTGAAAATGTGACATGTTTTCATGTGGTAACAACACATGGACCAACTGAGCGCAGCGTGTCAGGGAGGGGCCTGACAGCACAAAGGCGGCTCCCTGTTTGACAATGACAACAAAGCTCATGAATGAAGCGGGAGATGTAAATAAGGAAGTGGCCAACAGGACCAAGCGCTGCCTGGCGCTCAGGGCTGCACTGTTGTTACAAGCCTTTCTTTTTCCACTGTTTAAACTTAACTCTACAGCCAACTTTCAGTGGCATCCAGTGACATTCTTTAGTTCATTTCAAAGTTCAGTTTCAATTCGTCAACTTTCCAGTACTAACAGAGAGTATTCTAAATTTAGCAAGTATTGTACTTCAAGCAGGTAGATGTGGCTTTTAACTATATTTTAAAATTCCGTAAGGCATGTGAGACCTCTGTCAGGTGGCCCCTACTTCTCTGTCATTTGAAATGCTACCACCATGTGCTTCGTGTGCTCCAGCCGCTTCACCTGCGATCTATTCTGCCTTTTCGCCCCCATTCCTCACCGTATTCCTCCTTTGCACTTAGCTATTGTGCAATTGTTTATTTACTGATTTACTTCTTTGCGGAATGGCTTCTGTACTAAGATGAAAACTCCATGACAAACAAGACTATTTCTACCCCTATAACACAGACCTGGGACTCTGTATCTCCTACTACATAACAGCAATTATGATGGCATGACAACATTTCAGTCATAGTGTGTGCATCCTATCTTTTATTATAAGCTTTTATGCTGCCTTGCACGGTGTGAGGATCAGTAAAAGAGAACACAATTCCTTCACAAATGAAGAGATGGAAAGACTTCAGGACAAAATAATAAAGGGGGAAAAATTACCTTCTTATATCCATTCTTTCTCTTTCCCTGACTGCTTTCTTCCCTTCTACTTATTTTATAAGTAATTCATTGATAACGTAAGGTTATGAGTTGGAAGGGAGAAAAGAGTATTTGGAATACATTGTGAACTCTCTGCAGTTTCCTTACAGTTTGGGGTAGGCTTAAAGCCAAAGTATGGCCCTGTTACGGTTTGTGTCTCGATCCGACCCAAAGCCTATGCAGTCTAGGGCTTTTCAGAGGTGGCTGGATCTAGAGTGTGTGACGCTGGGATCCAGAGTGTGCGATTAGTAAATCAGTCCACGGACTGGTTTGGTACAATTCTGGCTAGGATTAAGCGTGTGAGTACTACACCTGCCCTAGGGGGGTTAGCCTGCACACAGTATAACGGACAGAAGGAGTCTTGTCCCTTGCTTGCTTCTGTGGTCTTCTGCTTGCCATGGACTGGTTGTCCTCTGCGCTGTCCCTCGGCCAAGCCACTCTGCCTTGGATCCAGCAGACTATGGAGTGAAACCTCAGTAGACTACGAGCTAAAGAAACCTTTCCCCCTTTAACTTTGGGTATCTGGGTTTTCGTCTCAGCAATGAGAAAAGTAACTAAGACAGGCCCTAATTCCAGACAATCATATATTTTCAATGATTCATTACATAAGCTTAGCCGTCAGGTTAAAACGAATTAAAAACACATCACAGCTTTCTCTTGCTAGCCTGGACGTGACATGTGGCAATAAGAGGCAACAGAAGAGAGGGCGCTGGAGGACACAGGACATCCACAGGGGAGCCCACTTCATCAGCTGCTAAGGGCTTCACCACTAAGCCCTTCTACCTGAACACCACGGACCTAACGCACCGCGAGTTTCAAAGACAGCACTTGGGGAGGAAGTAAACATTCTGGGGCGGCTTCACTTCTGCCCAGATGCAACAGCAACTAGGCTTTTCTCCCTAAGCACATATACAAATACCTCTATAATTTTATTCAATCTAATAAATGGTAAAACTACGTAACTCCCTTAGGTTTGCATTATAGCATTCTCTCATCGCCAGGTGAATGTAAGTAGTTCACTATCCATACCTCCATGATTTCATCGAGTGCAGACTTCTTTTTCTTCTTTTCTTTAGACTGAGCGGAGCTCTGGGAAGACTCTTTCCGTTTCACTGCTGCTGTACTCCCGAGAGACTTCAGTGCACTTGGCCCCAAAGAACTGAGAAAGAGAAGAACCGTGCATGTTCGTAAGAACTACACACAGACGTGGGTTTTACAATGGGCAAAGTTAACGTCACACAGTAAATGTTGCAGTTTACTTGGGGAAGATCGGGAAGAGGAGGAGGAGAAGGCTCCATCTGCATCCCTCACAAGACAATGAGCACAAAAGAACATTTGCCCTGTCCTGTCATTAACTCCATTTTTTTTCTTTTTATGTTTTGGTTAATGCTGCTATAATCAGAACAGTTGAATGGTGGAAGAAAAGGCTCCATGTTGGGGAACCGCAGGATTTGAGACTCTGTGTTAGGACTCTTAGAAATTTACTTTGTAAAGCCTCCATCTGATGTTTCAATAAATATCAAATTGCCAAAAAAAAACAATTGCTTCCATGGACCAGAGATCCAAGTAGTTCTGATGAATGAGTCCCAAAACCAAGTGTATCTTTCTTCAGTCCAGTGAGAGACGTCAGGAAAGCTACTTCCGCTCCTGTGCAGGACCCACCTCACTCCTGCCGCTGGATGAACCAATGTGAGTACTGCTTTCACGCGGGCTGGTGGTGGTGACAGATGTACTGCTTGCTGCTAAGGGGGAGGTGAGAGGTGAGATTATACAAAAACATAGGACAGGACTGGGGATCCACTGGAATAAGGGAAAGAACACCCACACCCGGCAAATCTGATGACACCCTTCACATTGCCATGTGGTGGGATGGTCCTGAATAGTCTGTTAATGATAGTGGAATAGCAGCAGGACAACCGAAGTCACTCTGGGCACCCTGACAGAAGATGGCTAATACATGAGAACCCCTTTGGTTGGGGGGCTTTGTGTTTCTGACATAAACATGCACTTCCTTTTGGCAGGAGGATCTTCCTCTTCACCGGAAGAGCTTTCTATTGTTAGGTCGGTAACATCTACTTTCTTCTTGCTTGCGTCACTGGCTACAGTAACTGAACAAGGCTTACTGAGGACACTTGAACTTTCTTCTTTTTTGGTACCAGGAATCAAACTCACAACTTCGTGCTTGCCAGGCAGGTGCTGTGCTACTGAACTACATCCCCGGCCCCAAACTTTCTATTTTCGTACATGGTTGGCTAGGTACTTTCATAGCTTCTTTCTTCAGTCTCACTGGACACCAAGAACCACCTTCTTGGAATCTGATCTCATCCACATCGTAACAGTCAATGAGCATTTCCATAAAAAGTCCATCTAATATTAGACTTTTGCAGGCAGCTTTTTTGTCGCATACAGGACAAATCCAGGTGGGCTCCGTCTCGTTCATTTGTAGACAAAGGGCAGCACTGAAACACTGCAGATGTGCACACGTCACCACACGGCCTGGGACTTAGTCCCATTTTCCCTAGAGGGCACAGCGAGGGCACCCTAAGACCAGCTGGAGCAATTTCGCTATCAGGATCTGCAGCAAGTTTTTCTTCAATGAGTGCTCTGGAGTGATCAGGGTTTCTAACACCTTTCATCTTTAATCTCTGTAATACCATGGCTAATGTCAGCTGTTCTATGAGATATACCGACATGGACTAATTCTTTCCAACTTAAGATACAGAAGAAATGGAAATCTGGTTTGGCAGAGCTGAAGACAATCTAACTAAAGATGAAACTTCCAAAGGGCGCGTAGGGCGCTTCTGCTCAGTCCCATTTTAGGCAGTGGTGCACAGCCAGGCAAAGGAAACAGTTTCCCACTTACTTTTACACACAGACTACTGGGATAGTTATCTTCTTGAGGACAACTTGTTTGTACCAGGCAAAGTCTCAGCTGAACTTGAACTGATTAATCTCTCCAACCATCTGGCATATCTCTCTAACTCGTTAAGGTGTCAAAGCAAAAATAAAACACTTCTCTTGAAATCACTGAAAACTGCTTTGAACTAAACTCGTGGGTTTTATGAGACCATCAAGGACATCGTAAAAGGGCAGGTTTTTAACTGCGCCCCAGGATGGACAGAAGAAAAGGGACGGCTACTGCACCTCGAAGTGGGCTGAGTATCTCGAAGCAGCACAGAACAGGCAGGACAGGCTGGTAAGCCAGGTGTCACTGAAGTGGGAGGCCGCAAGTGGATGCCGGCCACCACCAAACTGAAAACTGGTGACTGGATTGCAGATAGATCGGAAAGCCCTTCAAGAGTCCACGAGTACTGGCGTCTATGTAATTCTCGGATTTGAATCTGAATCGTAGGGTTGTAGCCGCTCTTCAATAAAGACAGAGCCTTCAACAGGAGGTCATGCTTGCGCCCACTTTTATTCCGTCTGGCAAAGCCTAGTAACACCCGTAGTTCAGAAACCCTAAAACTAGAAAGCATATTCCTCAACTCTTCAAAACCTGCCTTTTCGGGCTGGGGATTTAGCTCAGTGGCAAAGCACCTGCCTGGCAAGCGCAAGGTCGTGAGTTCGGTTCCTGGTACCGGAGAAAAAACCAAAAAAAAAAACAAAAAACAAAACCTGCCTTTTCATACCCACTGTGGGCACCGCTCCCCCGTGCCTTCCCACAGCCACCAATGACACGGCTGCTACTGCCGCCAGCACGATCCTGCACCCAGTACCACCCTGTGCTCAGCACCACCCTGCACTCAGCACCACCCTGCACAAGGAGCCACTGAGAACGCTGCAGCCCTTAGCTCCCATTACAGTCAGTTGTATTTAGGACTCTTCTCTTACCATAGGGGAAGAACCATACACTCTGCTTTTGCAAAGTAGCAGTAATTGTCATGTAACTTGCATAAAATAGGTAATTAATATTTGCTAACTAAGCAAATCTTATCAATTTACTTAATGTATATTTATACCAAGCTACCATGGAGACAACAAATAAAAAAAGTGTGGTTGGTATAGAATACAATACAATTATTACTGTCTTTTATTTTTAGTGAATTTAAAGGTAGCATTAGATTTATTAGAAGTCAGGATACTTTAAGGACTCACATTCCCTGGAAAGTCAACTAAAATTTCTGTATCTTTTCTACACAGATTATAGTTCACAAAGTAAATATATGTATATATATATACATATATCTATATATCCATATAGATATATAGATCAGATAACTAAGACAGCTATACTACTAATTTCTATTAGTTCATAAGAAAGGTTTGTGCTTGTATCATTTGATCATTTTTGCATGCCTGTATCTTGTAATCTGAACAACTACTTTGAAGATAACAATAAGCAATGCACTAACTACTGTTACTCTTGTACTATCTTGTTTTGAAATTTTGTATCACTGTTTTTACTCTTTAAAATAAAAGATTATACTTCAGGACTCCCACTTTGTCTTTGTAGAAATTGGTGTCTCTTTACTTAACTGTAAATTTTAAACTTCATTTGTAGGATTTGTCTCATAGTTCAATCTAGAGAACATATTTTTAAGTTCTGATTCCCAGGTACAATCGTACACGATGTGCTTTGGTTTTGAACTGTGTCCATACACAGAGAAACTTCTCCACTTGCTACTTAAATGTTCTTTAGGGATAATTCTAATTGTTGATCACAGTATGTCTATACAGTGGGCACTAGTAAGGGAAGTTAGAAGTGAAGTTAGAAGTGGTTACAAAGGGAAGTTAGAAGTGGCTATTTGCCATTTTAGTGATTACATTTTCTGCTTACATGTTCACACAGGAATTGCAAAGCAAAACTACAACAAAATACCAATTCACACTGCTATTAAAGAACACGTAAAATAAGAAGTATTGGTAAGGATATGGAAAAACTGGAATGGCTGGGAATTCCTGGTGGGAATGTAGAATTCTGCAGATCCTCTAGGAAAATGATATGGCAATTCCTCAGAAAACTACACACTAAATGACCATAGGACCCAACAGTTTCGATTGCATGTACATACGCAAAAAAAAAAACCCTCAAAAAACTGAGAAGGAGACTCAGAACAGATCTGTGTACACCGGTGCTCACAGTAGTAGTATTTATAATAGCAGAAAGACAGAACCATTCAAATGCCCATCAGCGGATGACACAAGGTGGAATATCCATATACCTGGACACTAGCCTTAGGAAAAAGGCTACAGAAAAGGAATGAAATCCTGCCACAAGTGACAACTTGGGTAAACTCTGAAGATGTTATGCTAAGTGAAATAAGCCACACGCAAAAGGACAAATATTACATGATTCTAATTATGTGAGGTTCCTAGAGCAGTCAAACTTCTAAACAAAAATTAGAACGGTGATTTCCAGGGACTGAGAGGGGTTCAAAGGGCACAGAGATGAAGTCTGAGATGATATCCAAATCCAGGAGAGATGGGTGGTGGTGATGGCCCAGGAAGTATGGATTTCCTTAATATGACTGAACAGTACATTTAAAATGGTTAAGATAATCAATAGTACGTTTTGTACCATATATTTTAACACACACACAGACACACACACACACCAGACCGAAGGAAATATCCAGCATTATTAAATGCTTAGAATGTGATGAGCAATAAGGATAAAATGATAACCTGGATTTCACAACAGTGGAGAACAGACACCCAAGGGACATTTCAGAAAGAGAGAACAGCAGAGGCAAAGACCAGACGCAGCGGAGACCCTATGGCACGCTCAGGAACCTGAACAGTTTAGCACAGCTAGAGCAGAAAGAGCAGAAGAGACGTCAGATTGCAAGGGTCACCCAAAGGCACGGAAAAGCATGGGAGGCCGTCTCACAGACGCTGGCCGGGACGGCAGTACGAGAATGGCAAGGGAAGATTTGAAGTTTACAAAGATCTTTCTGCTTAAAAAAACAAGATTCTATCAGATTGGCAAGAGTTGAAACAGGGCTAAGATGGGGTTAAAATCAAGCCTAGAAGTGAATATTAACTCATCAGAATTAGATAAATCTTCTAAAACAGCCCTAGATTTCTGTTTTCGGTAACTAGAGTGAATCCTAGCGCTATACGGACAGGTATGTCCAAACTTGGACTCCATATTAAAAAACAGAAGTGAAAAGTAACCTGCTGGGCGTGGTGGCGCATGCCTATCCCAACACATGGGAGGCTGAAACAGGAGGACCGCCCTGAGTGGGAGGCCAGCCTGGGCTACAGAAAAGAAAATTAAGTAACTTTTCTTCAACCAAAGGGGAACAAGGATTTTTTGTGTGCCTCAACAAGCCTAAAATGTCCATTCTAATATTTATATCATTTAGTTCATTCTAAGTTTTGGATATACTACAGATGAATCAACAGAAGAACAAATCTCTAACCCTATAAGTAACCATAATCTTGAGAGAAAAAAATTTACAGGAATCTTTCAGTTGTATTCTCTGTGACACTATTTGCATACATAATATAAACAACAGAGATAGTATTCACAGAACTTGGTCAAACCTAGTGTTTTACTAATAATACTGAGGTTTGATGGAAGGGTGCAGCCAGTTGAGCAGACCACCAGAGATACTCAGTCCTCAGTCCTGGAATGTATAAATGCTACCTTATTTGGAAAAAGCGTCTTTGAAAATCAGATGAAAGATTCTGAGATGAGATTATCCAAGTCTCTGCAGCCCAAGCTGGCCTGGAACTTCTGCAATCCTCCTGCCTCAGCCTCCCAAGTACGGTTATAGGCACGTACCACCATGCCCAGCTCGAAGGGTCTATTGTTGGCTCTTTCTTGCTTGTTTGGCTTCCCGGCTACTACAACATGAGCATCTTTTCTCCACCATGCTCTTCTGCCATGATGTTTCAGCCTTGGAACCAGCTCACCGTGAACTGAAAGCCATTAGCTGAATAAACTTCTTTGCCCTTTAAACTGTTTATATTGGGTATTTTGTACCAGCAATAGAAAGCTAACAAACACAGGTGCGGTGAAGACAGAGAAAACAAGTTGGAAGACACTGCTCTTGAAGAGCAGAAGAGTACAATCACAAGTCAAGGAATGCCAGCAGCCACCAGAAGTGGAAGAGGCAAAGGACAGGTTCTCCCTGGAGGCTCTGGAAGGGGCACAGCATCCCAAATGTCTTGACTCCAGCCCAGTGATCCTGACTTCAGAATTCTGGCCTTCAGAGAGACACATTTCTGTTATTTTAAGCAACTAGTTTGTGGTCATTTGTTACACAGTTGTAATCAAATGAAAGTAGTACAAGAGTGATCAATTTTGGAGGCCAGTAGAATTGACCTTAATATATATTCATCTATGCCAAAAACAACGAAGAATAAAAAGAATGGAAAAATGTGAAAGTTATCAGAATAAAAATGGAGTCATCTATATCAACCTAAAGAAAAAAAATAAATAAAGCCAAGAGGTTATGAATGCAGGAAGGGTCCTTCTGCATGACTGCCTGATATTTATCATAAAAGATTCTGCCAGAATCACAACCTCCTGCAAGGCTACTGCAACCTCACACAGACATCTGCCTAGCAACCGTCCAACCTCGAGTGAAAGGTGCCATTCTTGTTACTAATATACATGATTAGGGATTATTGTTTCAAAATATTTTATGCAATTCTTCTCACTTTTGCCTTTAATAATGTCCCCTTGCCACAACCTCCTGGAATACTCTCATAACTTCTACCATATGCATGTTCCTTTTGCAATATTATTCTATTCCCAAATGAATAGCATCATTCTACAGGAATTTATACTGCACTATATAGTAAATCAACAGGTTGACAACCTACTCTCTCTTTCCAGGAAATCATACTTGTGCAGGTAATTAATATTTAAACTGTGGGAAGTGGGCTGTGACAGAAAATAAATAGTATTATAGTAACGCAAAAGGAGTCATTAAGTAGAAGACAATTCAGAGAACCACACATTTTTGATGTGAAGCATGTCATCGTAATGGACCTTTACAAGTTGGGTGCAGTGCAGTGTGCCTATAGTCCCAGCTACTCCGAAGGCTGAGGCAAGAGGACTGCTTGAACCCAGGAGTTCCAGGGCAGCTAGGGCACACAGGGGTAAGATTCTCATCTCAAAAAAATAGAAATAAAATAAAATGAGTCATTCCTCAAAAGAATCAGTTCATCAGAAGGCAGTAAAACAAAAGTCCTAGTCAAACAACAAACACAAGCTGAAACAAAACTGTGACCAGAAGGAAGTCAGTCACAATACTTTAAAGCATAGCAACCAAAATTCCGCAAAGTTTCCTAGTTTTTAAGGTAACTGTTATTGCAGCTCACCTTGATTTGGAAGATGTTGCTCCTGCTGAACTGCATGCTCCTTTATTCAGATTAAATGTAACTAGAAGAAAAAATGGTTACTGCATATATATTTATGTATTTCTCTGCGGAGATTATAATAAAATTTCTCAGATAATATTCCTTACGTAGTCACATGGGAATTTACAGACGTTTTTAATTTCGCCCCCAGCAGACGACACTGGCTGCCTCCCGCTCCAACCCCTGCTCCCCTCACTGACGCTTCTCCCCTGCTTAAGTGTCCGTACCTCTGGCCAGCGGCTCAGGGGCTAGAACACCGTCTTCGGCTCTGGGGTACATTCCGGCTGTCTAAAGCAATCAGTATAATCCCTGTGACCGCTTCTATGGTAGACATGTGATGCACTTCTGGCCAGTGACATTCAAAAGGAGTCCACTGGGAAGAGGAGTCTCTTCCGGAAAAGCTTCCTTGCCCTTCTGGGACTCCAGAAGAGACGCTCTGCCATCCTTGGGAAAACGCCGAGTCTGGAGGCGAAGACTGGAGTGCCAGCAGCTGCCCCTGTGTCTTCACTTCGCTTCTGGGGTTCTTATTGTGGCAAGACATTTCCTTACCATTTAGGCTAATTTCATTCAATTCTGTTACTTATGTCTAAGGTAACAAAATTCCCCTAATTCACAGTATTACTTTCTCCTTTTCAAGGTAAGAACACTGTAACAGACAGAAGAAACCTCCGGTTCCCAGACATGCTGCTAGCTTTTAGCAAAGCCAGTACAAAAGCATCTAAGCTTCCAAAAAGGGAAGGAAAATTTAAACTACCTTTCTCTTCATCATTTTCTCTGCTTAACTCTGTAAAGACAGGGGCCTCCTGCAAGAGAGAGAAGGAGAGTTTGAAATTAGGGCGTGTGCACAGGGCACTTAGGGCAGCACCCACACTCAACAGTTTCCACCACGACTTGCTGCCTCTGTTGGGAGGCAGACCCTTGGGTGAGTACGACCTAAGAGCGCACAAGCTTGGCTGATCCTCTGCAATTGACGGTTATCCTAAAGCAAAGACAGGAGGTTTTTCATGCCAAACTGCCTACATTTTTTGCTTTGATTAGAATTTAAACAGTAAACCAATAACAAAAAGGTAAGGCAATGAGCATTACTAACTTACAGGACTACTTTAAAAAGCAAAACCTTCCTAGGGGCTGGGAATTTAGCTCAGTGGTAGAACACCTGTCTAGCAAGTAGGAGGCCCTGGTTTGGTCCTCAGCACCAAAAAATTAAAAAGCTAAAAACAAACACAAAAACAAAAAACCTTTCTATATATAGGATAATTTAGTACAATGACTGAGCACCTAAGACTAAAACAAAACTGCGTATCATGCCTCCCTCTCCAACATACTAGCTTTATAATCTCTCATTTCATCATCTTCCCTAAGTCTTTGTTATTTGTCTTTTCAAGTGGGACAACGTACACACGGAAGAGTATTCAGAAGGGTGTGCCGGTGCATCTTAGCGGTCAGCTCAAAGAAACTCCTGGGCAGTTGTGAGAGCACACTTTTATGCCTCAACATCGCCTAAAATGTCCTTTTAAATGTCTACATTATTTAGCTCATTCTAAGTTATTATTTTTACGAGGGAAAAGTCAGCGGAGCAGATCTCCCATCCTATAAACACACACTACCATCTCAGAGAAAATAACACGGATGGGTCTTTCAGTTGTATTATCTGTGACACTGTTTACACAGTAATATACACAACCAAGACAGAATTCAGAGCTTGGTCAAATGAAACTAGTATTTTACTAACAATAACATCAAGACTTCACATACGGGTTCCTCAGGCTGAGTACTCATAGATATCAGGTCCTCACCCCTGGAACCTATAAATGCTACTGACTTTCGGAAAAAAAATTTCTGAAAATCAGAGTAAGTTACAGATTTTGAGATGAAGCAATTATCTCATTTGAGTAGACCTTACAATCTCCCCTTTTAATAGGGAGGCACAAAGGACTCTTGACACATGCAGGAGGTATCACAGTTTAAACAAGGCTCACACTGTGGGTGCTAACGCCACTAATGAGCTAAGCCAGGGAGGAATGCACAGCCAAAGGGGCTATCGGAGGTGGGGCCCAGCTGCGGAAGTGGGTGGGTGTGCGACCTTGGGGACTGTATCTGGTCCCGGTATTGTTTCTCTCTGGTGCTCTCTGCTTGCTCTCTGCTTCCCAGATGCCATGACCTGAGCACTTTCCTCTGCCACGATGGTGCAGTCCTGCAGCCAGCCGTGGACTGCGCCCTTCTCAAACTGCAAGCCCCAAACAAACCTCTCCTTCATCATGTTGCAGGTGTCAGGTCACTGCCCCAGTGAGTGGAAAGGTGACCGACACGAAGGATTAAATAGAATAAAGAATGTGGCAGGGGCTGGGGATTTAGCTCAGCGGCAAAAGCGCCTGCCTGGCAAGCGCAAGGTCGTGAGTTCAGTTCCCGGTACCGGAGAAAAACCAAAAAAAACAAAAAACAAAAAACAAAAAACAAAAACAAAAAGAATGTGGCAAAAAAGAAAATAGTAAAAAAAAACGCCCCCATAAAAGCTCCTTGGGCTGGGGATGTAGCTCAGCGGCACAGACACAAGGCCCTGAGTTCAATTCCCGGTACCAAAGAAGAAAATAATAAAAAAAAAATGTGGGAAGCACCTAGCAGAGTGTTCTCTATAGTAGGTGGTCTATAAATACTAATTATTGTTTCTACTAATTAAAATGAAAAGATATTCCTGAGGTCTAATTAAATATTCTTTTCTCAGGCAATGCCCATAAACACTTTCACATGGCAAGGCAAGTGGGCATAATCTCACTTACAACGGATATGCTTTAAGTGTTTCCCTTATTTTTCCGTAAAGGCAGCATTTGTAGCCGTAAAGCATAAAATAACTTGACAGTTTTAGCAGTAACTAAAACATTACCAAACAATAACATTATTCCAAAAAGTAAACTATCTTCCCCACTTTCCTCTACACAAGAAGACATGACTCTCAGGGCTAGGGAGATAGCTCAGAGGCACAAGCACCTGCCTGGCAAGTGCAAGGTCCTGAGTTCCATTCCTGGTACCAAAAGAAAAAGAAAAAAAAAAAAAAAGATTCTTAACTTCCATAATAAGAAATTAAATTTTCTCTGATCTACTGAAAACAGAAGTTTAAATTTTAAAAAGGTAAGAGAAATTCAAGAATAAAGAGTTTTCTCCATAATGTGTTTAAATTTTATAATTCGGTAAATAATTCTTATTTTAGTTCAGTGCTGAAAACGCCTAAGGGTTATGTGAAGATGTATATATTAATGTAACTAATGCTACAATGCAGTCTCACTTATCAAAAAGCTCAATTAAAATGGGCATGGTGGCTCATGCTTATAATCCCAGCACTTAGGAGGCTGAGACAGGAAGACTGCTGTGGGTTTGAGGCCAGCCTGGGCTACAAAGTGACTTCAAGGCCAGCCTGAACTGCACAGTGAGACCCTGTCTCAAAAAGAAAAAAAAAAAAAAAAAAAAACAACCAAAAAACCTCAACTAACATGATATAAAAGGTGGTTGATAAACTGGTCCCTACCAGTATCTTAAGCCTTACTGCCTTGAAGGATTGCCACAAGTCAAGACCAGCCTGAACCAAATAATGAGACCCTGTCTCAAAAAAACGAAACAATAAAACGGTCCTTAAGCATAGAGCAGATGGGCTTGGTTAGTGTCCTGAGGTAAGGAGGTCTAACAAAGTCAGGGTCAAATCATTCAGGCCTGTGTTACACACACTGCGGTTAGTCATGAGGTCAATGTTGATTCTACCTTACTTACTCTTCTTGTTGCTGAGACAAAATACCCAATGCCCAAAATTAAGGAAGGCAAGTTTTATTTAGTTCACAGTTTGTGGAGGTTTTAGTCCATAATCAGCTGCCTCCAAGGCAAGGTGGCACATGGCACAGGGGCAACAGTTCACGGGGACAGGGGAACACAGCAAAAGCAGCAAGAGCAAAAAGAGGAGAAGCAAGCCTCTGTTCTTCCCTTTTATTGTATGCAGGCTACCTGCCCTAGATGTGTGTAGCACTCACACCACTAATCCCAACACTGGACAATGAACCAATCACAAACTCTAGATTCAGCCACCTTGGGAAAGCCTGCCCCCCATAACCCCCTGAGGCTTTGCAGGGACATCCAGTCACAAATCATGGCGGTGTCCACACAGAAACACACATAAAACAAGGTCACGTGTTGGTCAGTGGACAGAAAGGTTGTGAAAAGAGGCTGAGAGGCGCCTAACTCTGTATGTCCCCTGGGAAAAGTAATTCAGGGTTTACAGTGATTCTGCACCTAAAACTACCATAAACACAAGATCCGCAGATAAACCATGCACGCACCCACCAAGATACACTTATTTCATTCAGCTCTCCCTTCTGAAAATGTAGCGGGCCACAAAGTAAGAAACAAAATTCGCCCACTAGTCTAGGTAGTAACACTTTGGAATCACTCACAGTCTTCCAAGAGTTTCCTGCCCTCCTGGCTGCAAGAAGAAACAAAAGCAGTCAGCAGACCAGAAGTGCTGTGGTGCAGTGGAGGGGCGCGCTGTTTTCTCTTTTGAGAAATCTACTGCTTGAAGGCTTCCTTATCACTTCCTGCCTCCTTCTTGCTTTTTAACTCTCTCAATTAGGTAAAATGCCTTAGAAAGGAGTATTTTGTGCAGGGCCTCAGGCAAGATCACTGTAGACCACTGTATGTATTCAGCTTGACATGACTGTAGCCATATTGATTATAACCACCGTTTTGCCCTCTGTGTCACCTCAACTTGAATTTCAAACCCTACAGGATAAACAAAGGCATTAAGGTAGCCAGGCATCTTTGCCATCCATTGACAACAAGACTTTCAGACATTGGACATATGAATAATTTTGTCATTTGCAATGCTGGGAATCAAACCCTTGGTCCTATGCATGTTGGGTAAGTGTTCTACCATTGAGCCAGCCCACAAATAATTGTTTTTTGAGAAAGTACATTGCATTTGGCTATACCCTACCTTTGTCTAATTAGCATATAAACCCCTTCCTCCTGCCTCAGATTGTGCAGATCCTCAAATTTTGCTGTCACCCAATACAAGCTTCTGTCCAAAACTGCCAAATAAATTATATTATACCAAAGAAAGTCTTACTGCCTCCTACTCTGGGCACCCCTCTATGTTAAATGGCTTCAACAAGACCTGAGCAATGATGACCAGAGCAAGTCTTCACAGTAGTGAACAACTGAAACCAAGCCAAACGTTCCTCAGCAGAAAAATGGGTTATGTCAGAATCATAAAATGGGTTACCATACATCACCTTAAAAAATAAAAGAGAATGAGAGATGTTTGAGGAGATAAATATGTTTACCCAGATTACACAACTGTATACATGTACTAAAACATTACATGATACCAAATAACATAAAATACATTAAGCATAAAATATACCAATTTCATGCTTTTATATATATTTAAAAAATTAAAAAAGAACGAAACCTAGGAAAGAGATGGGTGAACTGCACAACATTATGTTTGAGTTTTACAAGTCAGACACAAAGGAGAACATAGAGTAGGATTCAGTTTAGACGAGGTTAAAGAATGAACTAAACTAACCAAAACGGACACATCAGAAAGTTGTAACTTTCAGGGGATGGGGTATTAAGTGGGAAGAGGCATGAGGGAAACGTCTGTGATACTAGAAATGCTGTCTATCCTGGTGTGGCTCTACAGGCTCACCCTCACTCGCCTGCTCACTTGTGCCTGCCCCACGTATGCAGAAGTGCAATCAACTGCACATGTACGATTAATGAACATCTTATACTTTACTGCAACTTGGTTAGAGCTCAATACAGCTTTTAAACACTAAATAGCTAATAATTTCACTTACACACCAGACTGTATTTTCCTGCTCACAACTGATACAAGGCAAGCCCCGTGAGGGCAGGGCTTTTGCTTCTTTGGTGCACTGTGTACACCCAGCACCTAGAAGAGTCCTGGTACACAGGAGGCACCACATAGCGCTTCTCAGCCTCTTGGCTAAGATCAAGTGTAGCGCAGGAGGCACAAGTATCTGTAGAAATAAATGCCTTGGTCTAGTTACTCTATGCCTGAACCGCTTTGCCACATCCTCCTTTGTCCATTTACCAGGCTGTCACCCATTTACTCTTCAAAACCCCTTGCCTCAGGTATTTTTCTACCTTCACACATTCTTTGTCTTCTCTGGGATGGAAGACCGTTCACCCATGCACTGCATTTATCTCTAGCACTGCAGTAATTACAATGTCAAAATGATCGACTTATGTATCTTCCCATTAAATGCTGTCTGTTTAGAGCTGAGGAGACTGAGGTTCAGAAAGCTTCCACAAACACGCAAGAGCATGAAGTCAGTAAGTCAGGAATCAAAGTCTGCCTAACTTCAAAGCCTAAGCTTTCACACCACACCATCCTCTTCCGCCCTCTAGGCGGAACAACACCTAAAATCCCGACTTAATGTTTGGAAACACAAGCAGTTTTACTTCTTCAGGCCTTTTGATATTGTTCTTCTAAATGACATTGCTGCCCACCTGCTCCTTCCCTTCCAGACCTCTTCGCACTTGTTCTTCAATAAATTTGGCAGATTTTTCTTCATCGTCAAGGTCCTGCTTCTTCTTCTTCTCTAGCTCCAGCTGCCGGCGAATGGTCTCTGGGTCCCTGTCTATGTACTGAATATACCAGCCTTTGGGGGTCTCATCCACTTTGCACAGGCCTTAAGAGAACAACAGGTACTATCCATTTGTATACAGGCAGAGCAAATGGAAATATACACATGTTCCATCTTTGCATATTTTCTCATTCATTCAAATACAATCAAATACACCAACTCATGAAGCACATGAAATTTTCATATTTACATTTAATGAAATTCGATACAAATAGAATTTTTTTATCACTTCAAGCAGAAAAAAACTGTCAGTAGGATTTTTACATAGCTGCACTGAGACCACATATTTAAATAATGGAAATACATGGAAAAGCATTATCTTGCAGTTATTTTCCTCCCATACCTGCATATCTAATGTCCAATGAGAGCATGATGCTTTGTTAACTTGAAATGAAACAAAACAACATACTGAATAAAAAGTATAAAGCTGGGGGTGGGGGGTGGGGGTGCACACCTGTAATCCCAGCTCTCAGGAGGCTGAGGCAGGAGGATTGCTGCAAATTGGAGGCCAGCCTGGGCTACAAAGTGAGCGCAAAGCCAACCTGAACTGCATAGCGAGACCCTGTCTCAAAAGACACAGACACAGACACACACACACACACACACACACACACACACACACGAAGTACATTGGCTTTAAACTCTTTTCTCTTCCTAACTTTTCATCCTAGGGAAAAAGAAAATTTTTTTAAAAAATCACCTTAAGATGGGGTAAGAAAAGTCCCATAAAGTTAAATAAACATGGGAGGGAAGGAAGGAAGAGATTGCTAATAACACTCCATCTAAACAATGGTCCAGTGATAAATCTTTGAATTGTCAAAAGAACTATACCAGATACTCATCATCAATTATATTTAGAAAATCACTGCTGGAATAGTACTTTCTTCTCCTCCAGTTTTTCTTGCAGTACTGAGAATTGAACCCAAATTTTCACACTGAGCTTATATCCCTAGTCCTGTTTTACTTTTGAGACAGGGTCTTGTTAAATAGCTAAGTTGCCCAGGCTAGACTCAAACTTGTGATCCTCCGGCCTCAGCCTCCCAGAAAGCTGGAATTGCAGGTGTGCATCACCATGTCCAACTTCTCCTGTTCTTATGTTGCCCTATGCAGTCTTCTTTCTATGAATTGGGAATGAAGGGCTGGGGATATAGCTCAGTGGTGTAAGCTCCTGCCTGGCAAGGGCGAGGTCGTGAGTTCGATCTCCGGTACCACAAAAAAAAAAAAGTGAGAATGAAACTGACAATTCTTTCTCTCCTGTCAATGAACCCCCACAACAACTACTGGAATCTCTCTTCTTACCTTCTCTGCCCAGCCACTTCGTGAAGTCAGTCAGTGTTTCCCACTGAGTTGCATTCATATGGATGTGCTCCCGGTGGCTGATGTACTCATTGTAGACAATGTTGTTATGGACTCGCTTGGTGCCTAAGAAGAAAATACAACACTGTCAATCTGAAAAGACTGTACAATTGTAAAGTTATTATTACACAATAGTTAAGGTGTTTACCAAAGCGTCTCCTGAGAAGTTCTAGAAAGTCATTGCGGAATTCCCTAGTGAAGAAAGAAAGGAAAACATTCAGGTACTTTCTACAAATATATAGCATCACCTTCCTGAAATTTAAGTAGTCATGTACTTTTTATGTCCAAATCATACATGAAAGATTTACCTGATTATTAGGAACCTGTAAAATCTGAGCAAGGAAAAACTCCAAAAGATTAGAGCTTTCAAGGATTAATGGTAAAAGTCACTGTGAAGGTCTAATGTTTTGTCCTGGTAAAACAATCACAGTGAAAGCTACCACCTACCTTTACAGAGGTTTTTCCCAAAGTCTCTCAGTGTTAGTGAGCATGACATAATCTACCCATTCTGATACAAAACTGTCATTATTCCATGTGAAAATGCCACTTAACGTGTCCCTCTGAAGTAGGCACACTGTACTAAGTGCCAGACAAACACAGGTAAACAAGATATAATCCTCATCTCCAAGCAGATTACGACCTAGCAGAACCAATCATAACAACTTAAACTAAAAAAGCAATGTAGCAATCGCTTCCTAAAAAAGTAGAGGCAATGCCGAGAAATGGTCTTACTATAGACAGTGAAACATACATAAGACTTTTATAAGTAGAAAGGAAGGAAGGCTACTCTCAGCTAGCACAGGACTCTGGAAGCAACACACATTTGAAAAATGACATTTAAGCTACTCTGGCTAAAGGTGAGAGTATTGAAACACGGGGTAAGAGTAGGGGTGGAAGAGACTAAAGGGACAGAAAGTGGCTGGAAAGTAATAATTTTTGCAGCACCTTGAATATCATGCTAAATAGGTTGTATTTTATGAAGGCAATAGAAAAACACTAAATAATTTAGTTGGGAAATAACTTTTTAAGATCTGTAATTAGAAAGATAATCACAGCGGAGAGAACAATAATTCTCCAGTTGTGGTCCCAAACCCAGCTACATCATCACTGTCACTCGAACAGGACAGAAATGCAGAACCTCTGCCCTACGCAGGTCTGCTGAGTCCGAAGCTGCCATTCTTTGAGCACTGTCACTGACTCTGACGCACACAGCGCTTTGTGAACTGTTGGTATAAAGCACACAGAGGAGGGGCTGAAAGTGCACGTTAGGACGCTGTGAGGAAGTCATGAGTAATGCGGTGCGAGAAGCCGAGAGGTACTTAGCAGGGCAGTGAGAATGGGAGGCCCAGGCTTCAAGGACAGGGTGAAGGAGAACCCTCAAGAAGTGACTTGGAGAGAACGTAAGGTTTACAGTTTAGGAGTCTGCTGGGTAAACAGTTATTAGACAACACATTAAAGAAACAGGTCGCGGGATATGGAGTTCAATTTTAGAAATTCTGGCTCTGAGTAGTCTTCAGAGATACAGATTAGAGTGGTCAAAGGAAAAAATATCTGTAGTTCAAAGCTGACATCAGGGATGAACAGGAGGATTTAGGAACCATCCAAGCATAAAGGTAACAGTTAAAAGACCACTTTGAGTCACGGAGACTGTGTGGTGTGGGATGAGAAGAAGTCAAAGGGGCACCTTGAAGAAGCTGTCTACTTCCAAGGATCTGAGTGTGCAAGAGGGGTTAGTCGAGAGAAAGCGCAAAGGGCGGAAATGCAGGAAAACCACAAAAGCAGACCAAACGGAGCAGTGTTCCAGGGAAGTTACAACGTCATCCACTCCAGAACGACCAAGGAGGATGAAGACGGAAAGAGGCACAGGGACGTTCGGACACTACAGGGGCAGACGTCAGCAGCCGGAGTGAGGGGAGCGGGAAGGAAGGCAAGCACACGTGTAGACAGCCCGTCAGAACGGCGCGGCCCAAAGTGCAGCACACGCAGCCCGCAGATCTTCCACACGGTTCAGGCGGTCGTGGGCAAGTGATGTTTCCTTTGTCACTGTGCTATCTGCACTGACGACAGACAAGCACTGCAGGGTCCATACGCCAGCAGCTCAGCACAAAAGCCAAAGATGCGGGCTAAAGCCAGACCGTACCAAAGGACAATGCAGCCTTCAAGGTCATGCACTCAGAGGAAACGCCACGGCTAACTTCATCTAGAACGTCCTTGCTGAAGTAGTGAAATTCCATTTTAAGTAAATTACTAACTCTCACCCCTGAAGCACACGTCTTTCTAATTTTCTGTACTGAAATGAGAAATACGAATGAACCACCGTGGCTGCTATTGCTGTACATTAGCTGTCTTGAGAAAAGCACCTTGACTGAAGCCATGAGCTGAAGTATTTCTCATCAGACACTAGGTCTTACTTAAAAAGACACTGACACATAAACTATCATTGCTCCCAATGGGGCATTTAGAATACACTTTTTCAAAAATAAACAAAGGAAGCCTGTCATGTCAAGGAAAAGAACTGACAGCATTTGCTGCCAGCGATAAAATTTGAGCTCTTAAGCAACGAGTAGAATTTTGGTAAAGCAGTACCTGTCCCTGGGAGCCTGCCATACTTCCCAGTATCTGCAGATGCTGTGATGACAGCAACGCTGAAGTTAATGAGTACGACTTGATGACATTGAAAGACAGAACGTGTCACAATTTGGAAGCTCTGGGTAACTCAGTGAACCTGTTCGTTCTGAATGACCAACATGACCTTACCGAGTCACACATGAGGGCAAGGTCTGCTCAAAAGACAGACCAACGCATTTTAACGTAGCAGTACGAAACGCTCACGAATCTGGTTTCACACTCTACACTGCAACTAACCTTTCAGAAGCTGCCACACATTGTGTTCTGATGCAGTTATCAAAGAAGAGTATCTGAAAATATCTGAAGAGATTTTTAAAATACTTTCCCCTTCTAACAGTGCATCTATTTAAAGGCTGGATTTTCTTTACATGCTTCAATCCAGACAACATTTCATAACAGACGAAATGTAAGAGATGTGCAAATCCAACTTCTTCTGTTAAGTGAAACGATAAAGAGATTTGTGAAATGCTAAAGACATTTCTAAAATGTTACATTTTTTATTCAGAAAATATTGTTTCATAAAAAACATTATTTTAACCTGAGTTAATACAAAAAATTAAATTTCTCAGTTTTAATTTCTAAGTGTTGATACCTACAACCCACATTAAAAACACAACAATGAAAAAAACTCTTTGAGGTCTTCAATAAATAGAAAGGGAGTCTCAGCCCAAAAGGTCTAGAAATTTGGAAACAAAAAGATTCATAGAAGCATAACTGAATATTAATAGCAATGACAATGATTAACAGCTAATCTTAACTGACTGCTAGGTACTCTTCTAAGAATTTTAAAAGCATTGACTCGATTCTTCTAAAAACCCTGGAAAGATCAACAATACTTGGAAGAAGCGCCATTTTTGGTGCCATCTCATAAGGAGACTGAGCACAGAAAACCCACCCAGAGGGAACCTCCACCGCTCCTGAGTATAGGATTCGAAGTCAGACAGCTGACAAGGCAGCCTGTGCTGTTCCTCAGAACTGTGTCACAGTGAAAGGTAGTTTTATAGTTTTGCACATTTGAAGTTGGGAAGGAAGAAAAGACAATTAGCTGTGAAAGGCACGTCTGTAACAAGTTCACACTAAGATAAATTTTCAAAAGATAAAATTGAGCATAGAGAATACAGCTATCACTTTAACATGTAAAGCAAAACAGACAACCAATATGTGAAGTATCACACACCCATTAAATGTCCACTTGAATAAAGCTTATGAGATAAGGATGTCTTTGAGTTACTTACTCTGAAAAATAATCCATAAACTGCTGAGGATTTTCTGAAGCCAACAATAGTTGTCGCTGATGAGATTCTGACATACAATGACACTTAAAGCCATTCTACAAAAAATATAGAAGTGGTAGTTAAGTTCTGATGTACAGCACCAAAGTGGACTTTGAGTAGAAGTACTGAATTAAGTCCTAAAAAATCTGCTGTTTAATGATAAATTATAAATATCTAATCCCTAGTAACAACCACCCTCCAGTTTTTTTATTTATACTTTTTATGGAGTTGAGTTTTGCAAATGTGGTAACCAAAGAACAATCTCTGAGATCAGAGACTGAAAAACAGCAGTGCATACCATCAGACATTAATAACAAACATTATGAGGCACAGTAACCGAACTTTTTGGACTCAATTGAACCAGTTCTTACGGAGCACCTACCTCACAGTGTTACACACATGCTTCTGGTTTGGGTTTTGTTTTGTTTTGTTCTGGGAGGCTACAGGAAGACCCACCACTTTACAGCAGGCTCCAGATGGGTCTCAGAAGAACCCAGACCACGGACAACCCTGAGCCTTAGGAGTTTCTCTCCAACATACGCAGAGGTCAGCAGTCTGAGTTCTGAGTGCAGGCTGAGAACCTCAGGCGCAAGCCATTGAAGCTGGGGCGCGCTCACTGGTGTGTCAGTCGACACCAATTGTGACTCTATAGTTACAGCAGGAAGCTGTCTCTAATGAGCTGACATACTCTTAAACATACGTGGTGTGGTAAAAACGATGAGTGCATTTGGCCACCCAACCAAAAGGCATGGACCTTCAATAGGAGAAGAGTACATGGAACCTTAGGTGCAGTAAGGGACAAGTTTCAACTTGTTCAGGGCAACCAGTCTGAGCTAGGGTGCAAAGAAGGTGTGTTTTTAAAAAGTGCCATAAACGACCATCACCAACAATGCATTAATGTGAAGTTTTGTTTCAAACTACAAACAAGTGCAAAAGAAACACATGAACTGTTCAAGTTAGTTTACAGTGCTCTGCAGTGGCCAGGAAGACAGTTTACAAGCGGTTTGAGTGATTTCGTAAGCGTTTGTGAATCTGTTAACAATGGAGGGACTGGGGTCCTGAACCCTCAAAAACCTGAGAGAATGCTGAAAGAGTAAGCAACATGATCCAGTCAAATACACGACTATCAGGAAACTGCTGAAGATCTGAACACCTCTTACGGTACCATCCAAAGCAGTCTGACGACAGATTGGAACATGAGGTGAGAGAGTACAGAATGTGTGTACACAGCACAGGAGTTAGAGCGGGAGGACAGCGCTGGTGTTGACCAGGCCTCACAGCAGGTGCTCCCCGGGCCCCTTTCATTTAACTCTTATATCTCTGAGGTAGGCACTGTCCGCCCATGTCAGACAGGAAGAAATGGTCAGGTGGCAGCTTGATGCCTTTACCATCGAGTAGCTCTGAACAAGAGCCTCATGTACATAACTGGCTGTCTGCGTAATGTGATCCCTTGAGAGCTGATGTCTTAGTTACTTCTCTCTTGCTGCTGAGACCAAACACCAGACACCCAAAGCAACAGGGGAAAGGTTTCTTTAGCTCACAGTCTGCTGAGGTTCCAGTCCCTGTCGGCTGGTTCCAAAGCAGGCTTGGCCGAGGGGCAACGCGGAAGACAACCTGTCCATGGCAAGCAGAAGACAGCAAAAGCAAGCAAGAAAGGGGGACCTTTGCAGCTTCTTTCTGCCCCTTTTATACTCTCTCTAGGCTACTTGCCAAACCAGTCAGCGGACTGATTTAGTTATCACACACCTTTAATCCCAGCACCACACACTCAAGATCCAGCCACCTGAAAAAACCTCACCTATGACCCCATGAGGCTTTGGAGGGACATCTAGACACAATCCATAATACCTGGTGTCCTTGTAGAACAGTAAAAAGATATATTTAAACAGATTAGGCCAGTTTGGCAGGAGAAAACTCACGGAGCTGTTCAGAACCTAAGCTCTTCAGAGTACTTAACTACACTGAACCCAGTTTCCCAAACTTTGGCACAAAAGGAGCATCTGTCAGCACATGAACTTTGTAAATGCATGTAGTACAGTAAGATATAAAAGGGACTTAAAGGGCATAATTCTATGAAGTTATTAGGACACCGAAGTATCCGGGGTGATAGTTTTCACGTGGGAAGGATTTGACAGTCTGGAGAGATGCTCAGAGTCCACTACAGATTCACTCCTCGCACTTAGTCTGCATGTCTCGCAACCTGAGGTGCTTTTTATTAGCCTGTATGCCAATTACAAATAATTCATCTTCTAGAAAGTTTAAATAAAGATATTTGGGGCTGGGGATACAGCTCAGTGGCACAAGCGTTTACACGGCAAGCACAAAGTCCTGAGTTCAATTCCCAGTACCAAAAAATAAAAACAGACAGAAAGAAAGAAAGATATTTTATATTAAAAAAAAAAGGCCCAGCAAATAAATCCAATGCAGGACTTGTGATTGGATCTTGGCTTTTAAAAACTTCTTCTATTTTCTTGTCATTTTGAGACAGAGTTTCACTATGCACTTCAGGCTGGCCTTGAACTCACTTTGCAGCTGACGCTGGTCTCGAACTCACACCAATCCTCTTGCTTCAGCCTCCCCAGTGCTGGGATTACAGGCGTGAACCCACGCCCAGTTTAAAAACTTCTTTAAAAAACAACTGGGGAACAACTAAGGAAGTGTGAATGAGTAATCCCAGGCTGTTTGTATCACTGAAAGCCCTAAAAGGTTTGCCATCAGTGTATCAGATGATACAGAGCAATTTTTCTTTTGTTATATCGATGACATATTAACCTACACTGCAGTTATATTGGAAAGTATTGAGATTTTATCTACATGTTTAAGTATTTAGAGGTGAAATATCTTGACGTTACTGTTTCGGAAAGTAAAATAAATGTAGCAAAAAAACGTGTTAGGTTACGGAATCCCAAAATTCATATATTGAAACTCTACCCCCAATGGGACGACATTAGGAAGCAGGGCCTTTGGGAAGTAATTAAACGTAGATGAGGTCCTGAGGGTACCCTTGACGGGGTGAGGACCCTTGCAAGTGCTTTGAGCTTGTTTCTCTCTCTGTGTTTCCAGGGAAACTGCTGTCTGCAGAAAAGGAGAGGGCCCTCCCTAGCATGCAGCCAGGCCAGCCTCCTGAACTAGGGCGGGCCAGCCTCCACCACGGCGAGAAGTAAGTTCCCGCTGCATTGTTTTACTAGGCCGGGCAGACTGAGACACAGGGCAGCCGATGCATGGACCTTCGTTGTACCGGCGGCTGGTTTGGTGTACGGGACCTCACCTTGACTTCAATTCAAAGAGAAATGGGAGGAAGAAGCACTGGATTAGATCTGCACTACTGCCTCGGCGTGCTTCACTCGTGCCCAGTCCAGCCCCAGAGAAAAACGCCCAGTGAAGCAGCCCGCTCTCAGGTCTTTCACGGGCTCCACCTCCCACCTCCTTAACTGGCAAAAGCGCAAACTCCACAGCACAACACGCAGAACCTTTCGAGATCTGCCTGACTCTGAACGGCGTTAGGCATAACTCACTCATTTAAAACTCAACAACAGTTCTGCGGGCGGGCTTCCACATTACCTCCACCTCACAGATGAGTGAACAAAGAGGCGGCATCACGGTAAGCGGCGCAGCCCGACTTCACACCCGAGCCGTCTGACTTCAGTCCTCCGCCCGTCCAAGCAGGGTCATTCCGGACCCGGAGTTCAGGCGCTCCGTAAACACTCTTCAGTTGAGCCTCGTGAATGAGCTCCGCTTTCCCTCTCCCCCGATTCCGAATAGGGGACTCCTACGCACCCCGCCTCTCTCCGGCCGGGCAGGGACGAGGAGCGGGGCGTCCTGCCCTACCCCCGCCACCGGGGAAGCCGCAGAACCCTTCGGCTTCCCTTCTGCTGGAGGCGGGGAAGGAGCAGGGGCAGCTGTGCCGGGTAAGCAGCCGGCGCGGCCAGCTCCCTTCGCGGACGCCTCCCGAGCGGGACCCGCGCCCGCGCGGCGTCTGGAGCCGAGCCCGGATTTCCAGCGGGTCTCGGGGGACACGGACGAGCCCAGGCCCACTCACCTCGTCCCGGCACTGCTTCTGACACATCTGGCAATACCAGCGCAGCTTCTGAAGCCCTTTGGACTTAATCCTATTGGCGATGGCCTTGGGGGTGAGAAAGTCTGACTTCCCCATCGCGACCACCGAGACGACCACTTTCTGGAGACAGGAACCCTGCCGACCGGAAGCGGAAGTGGACTGAGGCGGTAGGCGGGACAAAACTGACAGCCAGAAGAAGGTGGGGCCTGGAAAGACCAGACACCAACGCTCGCGAGGTTTCTTTCAGGCGCGAGGAAACGAGAGCGAAGGAGAGCGAGGTCGGAACGGGCGCATGCGCGAGGCGGCCTGCCTGCCCGACCTTCAGCAAGGCTGCTACCATGTTCTCTCGGGCGAACGTCGTTGGGCTGTCGGCCCGGGCCTTGCAGCCGCAATGGTACGGCAGCTTGCAGGAGGGCTGGGAAGACTGGGGGGATTGACGCGCCCAGTCAGATGGGCCGAAGGAAGGGCTGGGGCGTGCAGGACGGGCCCGGGGTCGCAGGGCCGAGCGCCGCCCGGCTGCTGGGGCTGAAGGCGGCCCCGAGCGGGAAGGGCGTGCGCCGGGGACGCAGCCGGGGTCAAGGGGGCAAGGTCACGCGCGCCCGCGGGGGGGCGCCCCGGCACTGCGGATCGGGCTGTTCGGGGGCGCGGACGGGACCCTGCAGATCGGGCTGTTCCGGGGCGCGCTTGGCGTGTTGAGCCCCGGAGGCCGGCGGTCGCGGTGCGCAGGGGGCTTTAAACACCTGTGGGTGCGGAAGGGAGGACGTCGCCGAGGCAGTTACCCGCACGGTCGCGGGATCGCACAGAGGTCCCGGGGAAGAAGGGCCCTGTAGGCCTGAAGGGACATTTGTTGACTGCCGTGCGTTTAAAGGATGCTAAAAGTTTTGCCGATTTTAAATATTAATTCTTTGGGGCAAAAAATGCGCATTAGAAGCCTAGGAAGAGACAGGTAAAATTGGTTTGGGGGTGGTGCTGTACAGTAGGAGGAAATGTCATGAAGCTAGAATCTCAGCACTTCAGACACAGCGCTAAGGGGATCCTTAGGTATGTGGGCTGTGCCCTCGAAACCCCCCGATTCTATAATAAGGAAGATTTCTAAGCAGCTGAAGCACTAAACGAGGTTTTTATATTCTAATTTGGGTAAGAGACTATAAAGCATTAATTGAGATCTTTCATTACACAAAAAGTGTATAGCAATATATGAGAATCTCAGGGTAATGAGGAAATTGAATGTGATGTGAATTATCTACATAGAATTTTGGGTAGATTAGACTTGGAAGTCAGATTTTCTTCCCTAGTAGTGAGAAAGAGCACCGTGTAAAATGGGGTGAGGCTGTAGCTCAGTGGAAGGTCCTGGGTTCAGTCCCCAGTACCTCAGGCACTCGGTGCGAGAAAGAATATTCATGGGAATATTCACAGTCACAGTAGTGACTCTCAGTTGTGTAAGTTGTCCCGTTTGTTAACTGTTCGGCAGACACTTGCTGAGTGAGAAGTGCTGAAATGTGAACACGTGTACCGTGTGAGTGAGTTTGGGACAGTTCCTGGCACCCGCGGCTGCTCCGCTCTTCTGTCCTACGTCTTCGCTGTGCCTTACTGTTACCCTTTTGTAGTTTTAGAATCTTATTCTGCCACTCATCTGACTGTGGGACCTTGGGCAGGCTGGTGTCTGCTGCTGGTTCCTCACCTTTTCAGTGGACATGCTGATAACAGTACGCAATTTGTTGGGTTAGTGTAAGGGTTGTGTGACTGACTGCAGAGAACCTAGGGCACTGGGAGAAATGCAGGACGTGGTCCAGTATATTAATTTAAAAGATGAAAATAAGTATAGGTGCCGTTTCTACATAAAGTATGTAAGGGCATTCTGCCTGACGGGAGGAAAGGAAGACCGAGGGCAGTGTGTGGGAAAGTGTGAGGCCCTCACTCTGATGTAAAGGCAGGTGATGGACCTCTGCGCCGAGACTGAGTATCAGGACTTAATACTTTCCCTAGAGAATTTGCTGGTGCTACTTCATTAATTTTTGTACTATATTACAGCCTTATATATTCCTCAAAAGTCAGACTGCAGTTTCTTTGGATAGTGAGTCGTTCCTGACTCCCTCTACTCTTTTTCATGTCCAGTAACTGCTGTAGGATGGTAGGAGATACAGGTCATCTACAGTTCCTTTGATTCTCCTTCCACTGTATCAGGTACCTTGCAAGTTGCTCAAGTAACCAACCGCCTGAAGGCTTCCCGGGATTTGATGCAGTCATTCAGAGTGTTATCCTTTCAATGCAGACTCTTCCTTAGTGCTTAATTGACTTGATTGAGCTATCCCTAAAGAGCACTCAAGCAGCTCAAGGCTATTTGATTTTTTGTTGTTTGTTTCTGAGACAAGGTCTTGCTATGTAGTTCAGGCTGGCCTTAAACTCACTGTGCAGAACTTCGCCATATCCACAAGTACTGGTATTTCAGGCACGTGCCACCACGCCTGGCCTGCTCATGGCTATTTGATGGTCAATTTGTACATAAAAATGAAGAAGTAACATCGTCGTTTTTAGAGCTACTTATGTGGAGGCTAAATGTAAGAGCTCTTCTAAATACATGCAATGACAGCATGTGCGCAGCATAGAGTAACAGAGGTGGCACACACCTGTAACTGGCACTTGGGAGGCTGAGGCAGGAGGATCTCATGAATTCGAGGCCAGCTTGGACTACATAGTGAAACCTTGTCTAAAAAATAGAAAAAATAATCGTAGATGATGCTTCCAGTTGATACCTGTCACTTGGAATCTTTATGGAAGCCAAAACATTACATTCATCTAAATCTGTGTACAGCTCAGATTTGTCCACTAGGTGTTCTCCAGCAAGACACTTGGATTTGGAGTGGAAAAGTCAGTACGCCAGACAAAGCCAGCTAAAAATGATTGCTGCTCTTCACATGCCATTATGAGAAAAGATGATTAGTAGAAGAGTCGTGTCCTCTGAAATAGCAGTTTTCAGTATTTTCCAGCTTTTTTTCCTTTAATACATTGATTCTCACAACCACGCCTAATATTCTGTACGATCTAATACTAGCAGTATTAAACTAAGCCAAGAGATTTTTGTTTAAAACAACGGTTTTAGTTTTGAACTTCCAGACTTATTTTTGTATACATAAACATGTGATCACAAAAATGATAACCATACAATATATGTTATTTCATAACCTGCAGTTTTTGTTGTAGGTTTTATTTTTTGAGATGTAGCTGAGGCTGGCCTGGAATTGAACTGTAGACCAAGATGACCTTGAACTTGAAATCCTCCTGCCTCAGCCTCCCAAATGCTAGGATTATAGGTACACCTGGCAAGAGAACCTACATTTTAAAAACTGAACTCAGTAGACTTCAAGTTGAGCATTTAATACAGAGAGTTCACATTCCCATCTACCACGCTGGACAGTTTGACATTATTAACATCTTGCTTTACAGTGGTATAGTTAGTGAACCAGTCAGTAGCAATACATTATTGTTCACTAGAGTTGGTAGTTTTATTAAGGTTCACTCTCTTTGTTAGGCAGTTCTAGGTTTTGACAAAAGCATAAGGACATGTATCCTGCATTTTGCTATTATCCAGAGAGTTTCATTGCCCGAAAAATTTTCCCCTTCCCTGAAAACCCTGGCAACCAGTGCTGTCTTTACTGTTGCTGTAGTTTTATCTTTTCTGGCATGGAAGATAGTTAAAATCAAACAATATATAGCTTTTTTCAGACTGCTTCCTTTCATGTAGCAATATGCATTTAAGATTTCTCTTGTCTTTTTATGACTCGATAGTATGTTTATTTTTACTGCTAAGTCATTCTCTGTTGTACGGATGTCCTGGGGAGGCTGGGTGCACATATTGAGAAGCATCTTGGTTACTTCGGTGACTTCCAGTTTGGGGCCATGCTGATTAAAGCAGTGGTGAAGACTTGGGTGTGGGTTTTATGTGCGCGTAGGTTTTTAACTCTGTTGTGCGAATACCTACGAGCGTGATTTTTGGGTCCTGTATTAAGGTTATGTTTAGCTTTGTAATAAACAGACCATCTTCCAAAGTGGCTGTACCAGTGTGGTCCCATTAGCAATCAGCGAGAGTCCATGTTCCATGTCCTAGCTGCCATTTGTGGGTGCTAATTTTATTGAATTTCATCCATTAGTGAATATGCATAGTGGTATCACATTGTTTTGACTTCTAATTCCCTCATAACATGATGCTGAGTATCATTTTATGTGCTTATTTGCCATCCTTGTATCTTTGTGGACTTGTGCAAATTTTTTTTCTTTTTCTTTTGGTCGTGGTGGTACTAGGGTTTGAACCCAGGGGCTTCTCACTGAGTTACACCCCCAGCCCTTTATGTTATTTTTTATTTTGAGACAGGGTCTTATTAAGTCACAAAGTTGCCCAGGTTGGGCTTGAACTTGCAGTCATCCTGCCTCAGCCTCCCAGAATTTTATGCCTGTGCTACCATGCGCAGCCTGTCCAGTTTTTATTTAGGTTGTTTGTTCTAATTGCTGCACTTTAAGAGTTCTGCAGATCCTTTATCAGAGATACAAGTATTTCTTTCAGCCTAGGACTTGTCTTCATCTTCCTTTCTTGTTTCCAGTAGTAGGAACTAAACCAATGGAATAGTCCCATCCCTTTCTTATTTTGAGACAGGGTCTCGCTGAATTGCCCAGGCTGACCTCAAACTTGTGGTTCTCCTACCTCGGCCTCTTCAGTAGCTGGGATTACAGGTGTGCACTTGCACGCCTGGCTGTTCATTCTCTTAAATATTTTTCACAGAGCAGAAGTTCAAGTGGAACTTAGGATTTTGTTCCTGTCATGGATCATGCTTTTGGTGTTGTATCACCCAGGATACTGAGATTTTCTCCTGTAGAGTCTTCTAGAACTTGTGCACCTTCGCACTGTACATTTAGGTCGGTGACCCACCTTGAGTAACTTCTGTATTAATGTTTTGCGTGTATACATCTGATTCTCCTCGCACTGTTCGTTGAAAGTGGCGTCCTTTCCCGCTGTTTTGCCGCTCTCTCAGAGGCCAGTTGCTTCCCTGTGTCCGTCTGTTTCTAGGCTCTGTTGAACCGTGTCCCCTCACACCAGTGCCGGGTCTGTCATCTCTGGGACTCTGTAGTAAATCTGGTAGTCAGTAGGGTCCGTCTTCACATTTTTCTTTATTATTGTTTGAGCTCCGTAGATCTTTTTGCTTTCCATGTAACTTTCACACCAGTTTGTTGATGTTCACAGAGTAACTTGCTAAGATTTCAGTTGGAGTTATGTTGAATCTGTACATCGAGTTGGGAAGAATTCATCTTAGCAAGGTTGAGGCTTCCAATCTGTGAATGTGGATCTGTAAGTCCAACCAATTAGAGATAAAGAATACTTTCTAAAAAGCACCTGTACTGTGAGCCAGGCATGGTGGTGTACCCCTGTGACCCCAGCACTCCGGGGGGCTGAGGCAGAAAGACTGCACCATGAGTTTGAGTCCAGGCTAGGCTACATAGTGAATTCAAGGCCAGTATGAGCTACTACATAATGAGACCTTGTCTCAAAAAAACAAATCTGTACTGAACATATACATTTGCTTTTCTGCTATTATTATTCCCTAAACAACGTGGTTTAATAACTTTTTACATTGTTATAAGTAATCTAGAGGTGATTTAAAGTATATGTGGGAAAAAGAACAAAAAAATATATGGCAGGATGTAAACCACTCAGGTTGGCCTTGACCTTGTGATGCTCCTGCCTCAGCTTCCTGCATAGCTGTGATATAGATGTGCAGCAGTCAGTATCCCTTTTTTTGTAAAGGATTTGGACATCTACAAGAGGCACTTATATATAAAAAAAAAATGATATATTTGACTTTTTTCCTTTTCTTGATTTACTGCATTGGCTATGATTTCCAGGATGTACTGGATAAGGGTGGTAGGAGAAAAACCTTGCTTCATTCCTAATCTTGGAAAGAAAGCTTTTAAGAGCCAGGCATGGTGGTGAATGCCTGTAATCCCAGCACTTAGGAGGCTGAGGCAGGAGGATCCTTGTGAGTTTGAGGCCAGCCTGGGCTACAAAGTGAGCTCAAGGACAGCCTGAACTGTAAGAGCAAGACCCTGTCTCAAAAAGACAAAAAAAAAAAAAAGAAAAAAAATGGAAAGAAAGCGAGCTTGTCACCCTTAAATCATAGGTTTAGGCAGGTTTGTCAGGCTAAGGAAGCTCTCTATTCCTAATTCACTGAGACACTTTATCATGAATGTGTGTTAGATTTTGTCGGATGCTTTTTCTGCATGAGTTTTGGACACTAAGTGAACTTTCCAGGTCGAACTTTGCATACCTGGAATAAGTACCACTTGGTGAAGACTTGGCTGTAATTCCTTTTAATGCACTGGTCTATATTTTTGTGTCTGTGTTTACGAGAGATGCGAGTTTTTAGTTTCCAGTTTTTTTTAATTAAGCTTACTGATTTTTTTTTTTTTTAGGTTTCCATTTTTTACAGTGTCTTTATCTGGTTTCCGCACTGAGTTAATGCTTGCTTCAGAGAATTAGCACAGCTCCTCTGCTTCTCGTTCTGCTTGCTCCTGTTGAGTATGTTTCGGTTTGGGCTTTAGCAGCAATGACCGTGTTACTGTCATTTTTCAGACCTGTGTCTGAATTCTCAGGATCTCTCGCTTCCCTTGGACATTCCCACTACCCCCACCCACTTCTTTTACCTGTTGTATTCAGAATTCGCTATCCCCAGGGAGCCCCTTCCACCCAGTCTCTCTGTATTGGGCACGGCAGCGCCATCCTCTGAGGCACTGAATTAGAAGGCTTAGTCAGTCTCACTGTTCCCCTTTCCACTAAGAACCTGCTCTCAGGTCTGGCCTGTGGCGCGGCCCCGTCATTCCAGTCTCCGCGCTGTGAGAGGTCAGCAGTTTCAGCTTCTCACTGCCGTCTGAAACTGAACTGAATCGTGTGCTTATAAACGTTCTTTGGAAAGCCTGCCATCTACAGAATTGTGTTTACTCTGACTGACTTTTTAGTATTTAAAACTGCCGAAACTTACGGTAATATTTAAGCACACTGTCCTCCCTGTCTACAGCTTTGTGCAGTTGCTTGCACGTGACACTGTTCTGAGAAGGCCCTCGAGGGGCCCTCCCACGTGCACAGGTACATTGACTCCGCATCTCCCAGGGGGCGCTGCCCGCGGGACGAGCACTGTGTATGCGCTCGAAGCCTTGAAGATTTTATGATGTCGTCTTTCCCACTAGGGCAGGGATCCTCTCCTCTCAGTAACATTTAGTCTGATCACTTTTATTCTTGTGCATTAGCACTTAGTTTTAATAGACAAAGCTTTGATTAAATTTTGCATAAGTCTGAGTTTTCATGGATCTTGCGAGTGAGATGATAACTGGTCTCTTAGGTGAGAGACCATGCCTTATTCACCAGTGCCTGCAACATAGAGGCTGCTTAGTGAACCTTTACTGAACTGAATTGAAAAGGGTAAAAGTCTGTTTGAATGTACTCCTATCCATGTGGTCAGCTAGGCTGTAATCGACTCTACTATTAAAGGTTCCTGACTAAGGAAGTCAGGGTTGCTCTTTAGACAGTTCTGACCTTGATTTAAGAACAGTTAGATAGCCTAACAAGGGGAAGGACTTTCCTGTCCCGGAAATTAAGCCAAGATGCAGCTGCAGAAGTGGAGCATTTGTGTAAGCGGGGCACTCAGTGAAAGGGTTGTGTTATGTTAAATAAGGTGAGGCCTTCGGTGTGTGCAGGCCCTGCTTGTCACTACTGGGAATTTATAAATATGTCTGTCTACAATCAGTCTTGTATTTGATAGATTATTTTAATGAGACATTTAATTTAAGCAATTCTGACATTTATTTATTTTCTACTGAAACGATTTCTCAGAAAAACTGAAATATTTTTAAAACTTTTATTCTTAGGATTCAAGTCCGAAATATGGCAACTTTGAAAGATAGTAAGTATGTTATTTGTCTTGATACTTGAATCAAGAAAAACTAAATTTTGACAAATAAAATACTTTTTAAAAATATCACTTTAACTCCCTGTGTGTTGGTCAAAATTGACAAAACGAATTTACACGAGTTGTGCAGGACACTGGACTTGTTTTGGAAAAGACAAGTGTGAGGTGACACATGAAGTTTTTGTGTTACTCTGGTCTTACACAACTAGAAAAACTGTCCTGTTTATAAGCTCGCTGTGGTGGTGCACACCTGTAATCCAGCACTCGGAGGCTGAGACAGGAGGATCATTGAGTTCGAGGCCATCCTGGGCTACATAGCGAGTTCAAAGCCAGCTTGAACTGCACAGTGAGACCCTGTCTCGAAAGACAAAATAAAACTGTATTATTTGTTTACACATAAAAATAATGTTATGGACTGTTTGGTTGAGGTGACTTGTAATGTCATTTAATGTTTTAAAGACATAATGAAAAAAAGTAATACATATGTCCTCTTACATTGCCATTTGCCTGTCCTGTCTAAGTATCATAGGACTTCCCCTTTTTATTACTACTAGTTTGAACATTAAGACTGCTTAGCATTGTGCTGTTGATGGATGGCCTAAATGCAAACACTATTCCATTTTGCACTTTGAAAAATCTTTCAGTGAAATATACCAGTCCAGTGCTACTGTACCCCTGTCCTAACAAACTTTTTCAATTTTTCAGTTACCAGGCGACTAAAGTCAATCAAAAACATCCAGAAAATTACCAAGTCTATGAAAATGGTAGCAGCAGCAAAATACGCCCGAGCAGAGAGGGAGCTGAAACCGGCCCGGGTATATGGAATAGGATCTTTTGGTAAGAGAACACGGTCATTCCACCAGTTATAGAACCGTTTACCGTGAAAGAGGGCTGATGACCTCTGTGTAGTGCTTTCCGTGGGGCCAGCCTCCCCAGAGCACTTGGGCTCAGCAGTCCTGTGAGGGTCTGAGATAAATGGACGAGAAGTCTGTTTGAATCCTCGCATGCTGTTGTCAAAGCCTGTCTGTTACCCATTGCATGTGACTATGTTAACTTTAAACATCCTGAAGTTTTTCCTAGGTTATTCGTATACCATTAAAAACCCATGAGGCTGGCTATGGTGGCACATGCCTGTAATTTTAGCACTCAGGAGGCTGAGGGAGGAGGATTGCCATGAGTTTGCGGCCATCCTGGACTGCATAGTGAGTTTGAGGCCAGCCTGAACCCAGATGGGCCCCATCTCAAAAAACAAAACAGAAACATTTAGAAACAGTGCATTAGACACAAATGATTGGTCTCATGCAGTTGTCTTGTAATGTGCTGTTTTAGGACATCACAGGGGAAGGGCTAGGTGGTGGGGAGGTGGCGGCTGCAGGGAGAGCTGACTGAGTGGTCCTGAGTGTGAGCGTTGTGTTGCTGTGAGTGAGGTGGAAAGGAAAAGACTGTCTCAGGCCTTCATTTCTACGACTGTCAGTGTTATCCTTCCAAAAGCACGAACCATTTTCCCACCTGATTTTATGCATCCATTCACGTCTCATTGTCCTAATGGAGAAAACTGATGCAGTAGTTCTAAAAAGAATTTCTGCTTTGTTTCTATATTTCTTGGAAATAAGCAAAATTGCAGAAAGCTGGAAAGTTCTCCTCCTGACCTGTGATCATAGCGTCTAAACTGGCTTCTGGACGAGGATGTAGCTCAATGGCACAGTGTCTGCCTGGCAAGTGCAAGGTCATGAGTTTGATTCCCAGTACCAAAAAAAAAAAAAAAAATAACAGCGTAATGTCTATGCAAACTCCTGGCTTCTCACTCTCCCTCATACAGAATTAAGGCCGCCTCACAGATTTTTTAACTTAGTATGAAAAAAAATTAGGCACATATGAAAGTAAAGAAAACCAGGCAGGGACTAGGGAGATAGCACCTGCCAGGGGTGGTGGTGCATGCCTGTGATTAAGGCAAGTGCAGGGTCCTGAGTTTGATTTCCAGCACCAAAAAAAAGAAAAGAAAAGAAAATCATGTAGTGAGTCCACAGTTACTGTCTAGCGTTTTATTATCGGCTCAAGTCTCCAAATGTCAGTTTGGGGCTGGAGTCTTCCCTTAGGAGCACCGTCCTGTGAGTAACCGGTCCCTCCTCTCGGGCTGTTGAAGCCTGTGAATCAAGCCTGTGAATCGGTGCCTTGGCTTCTGTACTTGGCTTCTGTACCTTCCCCATGGTCTGCTCTGCCCTGCGGCCAGGATGGTTAAGATGTGAATCGGTCTGTTCACCGCTCCCACCCCAATCTCTTTCCCTCCCGGCCTGCTGCTGCACCCTCACATCCTCCGTGATTCTGCCCTCTGCCACAGCCTCGCGCCCACACTGCTGCTGTTGGTGCTCCGCTCACATGCTGCTTCCCTCCTTCCACTCAGGTTTCTGCTCACCACCTCATCCCAGCCCCTCCCTGCGTGCCGGGGAATATGCTATTCCCTTGTCCCCTCGTATCTTTTTAAACATGTATTTGTACCACTAAGGGGATTTTATGTGGGAGAGTGATAGGGCACTAGGCCTCGGGTGAAATAGCTTCTTACATTAAAAATGCCATTGTCTTAGTTACTTTTCTCTCTTTGCTGAGACAAAATAACCGACACCTAAAATTAAGGGAGGAAAGGTTTATTTAGCTCACAGTGTGTGGAGGTTTCAGTCCTTAATTGGCTGGCTCCGAGGCAGACTGGCATGGCACGGCAACATTTCACAGCGGCACAAGACAGCAAAAGCAGCAAGAGCAGAAGGGGAAGCCTGTCTCAAAAAACTAATAAATAAATAGATGAATAAACAAGCGAGCAAGCCATGTTTAGTGTCAGCTAACTGGAGCAGCGTTGCTAGGTTAGGATTTAACCCTCCTTATTAGTGCCAGCCCATTGGCTGCCATGAGTTGCTTGCTCAGTAAACACATGCAGGTCTGGCTTAGAGTAGGTGACTGATCTCCAGTTCGTATAGGGCTGGATCTTACTCCTGTCTGTACCTTGGAATACCTAACTTAGGTAAAATGTGTGGGGGACGCTCAATAATTGCAGCACCATATGGGTTCGAGTTTGTTTCTGCGTTGCTGGGGATAGGACCCAGGACTTCGCACATGGCAAGTGAGGCTTCTGCCAGTGAGCTGTTCCGCTAACCCCAGTGCAGTCTGTTACACGTCGAATTTCCTGGCCAGGGGTGGTGGTGCAGGCCTGTGATCCCAGCACTCTGGAGGCTGAGGCAGGAGGTTCAAGGGTTTGAGCCCAGTGTGGGCACCTAGCGGGACCTTGTCTCAAAGAATAAAAACTAGATGGAGATACAGCTCTGTGAAGGCCCTGACTTTAACCCCGTCTCACGCACCCACCCACGCACACACACAATTTCCTTATGGGTGTGTTAACATGGGGGAAGAAAAAGCTTTCCTTAAAAAGCCACTTTATATGGGAGACGCAGCAGCTCACAGCTGTAGTCTCAGGAAGGCCGAGGCAGGCATTTCACAAGTTCAAGGCCAGCCTGGGCAAAATAGTAAGAACCTGTCTCTAGAAAAAGTTACTTTCTTGCCACTATGAATAAATATAATAAATTCATTCCCCTCTAAAAACTATACCATGAAATTATTCATCTAAAAAAGGAGAAACTAACTTTGATATCTTATTAGAGTATTTGTAGTATAGTAGTAATAATAAAAATAAAGGAGAGACTTACAGAAGTGTTCTTACCAGTTAGTTCCTGAACCTGGAGTTGAGTATTCCTGTCTGCTTTTTTGGGGAAAAGGGTACTCAGAAGTTAAAATTTGAGATATGATAACTGGATCTGCCACTGCAGGGAGCCCCAGCTCCCCAGCTGTAGCCAGCTGTTGAAACCTGCCATGCATTTGGCCAGACCTTGCTCACCAAGACCCACCCCCACCAGTGGCCGAGCACAGGCCAGTGCTGAGGCATGCTGTTCTTGGGAGACTCGGAGCCTCCCAGCAGCTCAGCCTGACTTCGCTCAGAGGGACAGTGGTCCAGGAAGCTGCGCTCCAGCTGTTGTTCCTCTCCTTCCTGTCACGGGGCAGGTGAGCCTTGTAATATGAGGCTCTTCTGTCTCACTGAGCCTCCTCACGTGTTCTCACCTAGCAAGCTCATGTGTCTTCCAGCCCATTTCCTCTCCTCCTGGCCTTGGCTTCTTGGAAGACTGGACCAACAAAGTTGGTAAAGTAATGCCAGAAATAAACTGGCAGTTATTACTTCATTGTCACCAGTGGTTTTTCATTTTTGCAGTACACACTGGCTCTTTTTGGTTCTTTTTTGGAGACAGGGTCTCGCTAAGTTGCCAGGTTACCCAGGCTGGGCTGCACTTGAAATTCTGCCTCAGCCTCCCGGAGTTCCGGGATTACAAGCAGACACCACCATGCCCAGCCAGTTCTTTAAAATAAATTGAAGTGCAGTTTATTTGAGCAGCTCCGTGAAGGTGGTTTCCTTCTTCTTGGTTGTATGCTAGAAGTTTGCATTCTGGAGAAGTCATATCTTGATACCTAGATAAGTAGATACCTCCGTAATTCTACCTCTTTATAAGTTCTTATTGTACTAGGAAATTTTTTCTTTCTATTTGGCTTATTTGGTGTTTTTGATTTTTTTGAGACAGTCTCACTCTGTAGTTCAGGCCTCAGCCTTCCCAGTGCTGGGATTACAGGTGTGCACTACCACACGTGGCTGGAATTTTTTCTTAAGTCAACGTTTTTTTAAAAAATGGCCATTGATTTCTGAACTTTGTGATAGGAAGTTAAACCTCCCTGGTTTTCTGCCTGCTTGTAAGCAGTAAGTACACTGACGTCTGATTATGCTAGTCAGTCAGTGCTACCTAGACTTAACTGCGTATTTTAAAAACAGCTCTCCATTTTGTAAGTTAATGATTATTGCTGTATGTAATATGGATTGCATATTTAAAAAACTGTTGGCTTTTTTGTTTCTAAGCTCTGTATGAAAAAGCTGATATTAAGGTAGCTGAAGACAAGAAGAAACACCTTCTCATCGGTGTGTCCTCAGACCGAGGGCTTTGTGGTGCTATCCATTCCTCAGTCGCTAAACAGATGAAGAGCGAGGTGGCCACGCTCACGGCCGCGGGAAAAGAGGTCATGCTCGTTGGAATTGGTGATAAAATTAGGGGCATACTTTCCAGGTAAGTTACGTACACGCTGCTCACGTTCGGAAGGTTGCAGGCATGAGTAAATGGAGGTGTCCTCCATGTTAAGTACACACTTGTACATGCACAGAAAATTCTGTTCTGCTTTCATATTTTTCAGGATATATTGAAATATATAAATTTCCCATTTTTTTTCTTTCCTTTTCATCCACCACATAATTGAATACAATGGAAATAACCAAAGCTGTAGGCATTAAACCAAACAAGGGATCTGAGGAGCTGTCACAGCCTGGAAAAGTTAGAAAGGAGCAATACTTCATTAGTATTAAAAGGAGAAAAACAGGGAGAATATAAAGTAAGAAAGGTGAAAGTTTTAGTCCTCAGTTCTTTGCCCAAGGAAAGGAATAATGATATTGTGTGAAACACCTTAATTCAGGCAACCATTACCTCCTATATCCTCCCCAAAAACTAGATCTGGCTGGGCACGGAGGTGCACACCAGCACTTGGTAGACTGAGGCAGGAAAATCGCCTTGGGTCCGAGGCCAGCCTGGGCTACATGGGAGTTCAAGGCCAGCCTGAACTACAGACCGAGACTCTGTCTCAAACAACAGAAACTTGATCTATCCTGATATTTTTTCCTTGTTCCCACATTCTTTCAACGCAAGTATTCCATTAAATACTGGGTGTGATCCCTAGGACTCATTCTGACCAGTTTCTGGTGACGTTCAAGGACGTGGGAAGAAAGCCCCCTACCTTTGGAGATGCGTCCGTCATTGCTCTGGAATTACTAAATTCTGGGTATGAGTTTGATGAAGGCTCTGTCATCTTCAATCGATTCAGGCAAGAAACATTTACAGTTCAAAGTTCTTTTATATTTGTGTTATAAATAACTAAGTGTCTGTTTATTTTGAGGCTTATATTTGCTTTTATTATTTCTAGGTCTGTTATCTCCTACAAGACAGAAGAAAAGCCCATCTTTTCTCTTAACACCATTGCGAGTGCTGGTGAGTATTTTTTACATGCCAAATATTTTGGATTTGGAGAGGAGAGGTTTTGTCCTTGAAGGGAAACACTGTCAGGATGCCCAGTTACCTTCGGGGCCGTGGGTAAGGAGCGCTGTGTGTTAGTGACTTCCATACCTTATTCCACTTGTTTGGCAAGTGCTGCTGTTTCTCCATGAGTTGAAGAAACCTCTCTCCTGGGAGCTGTGAGTCCTGTCCTGCAGGGTGGAAGTGCCTCACCAGACAGGTGCTCTCCACTCTGCGAATGGAGACGCTAAGTGCAGGGCAATCAGAAGCTCTAGAGTGGAGATGTGAATGGTGCTCACAGTGGATTCACGTGGAGCCACTCATGTCTTACTTTGTTTCAATAGTCATGTTTGCCCAGTGAAGCATCCTAAAAATAATACTCTGGAATTTATTTTCTAAGTGTTTTCCCCAGTTGTATATACCATATTTCATCTGTTTGTGTATATTTTTTATATTTTAATGTCTTTGACACGATGCCTCTGTTACCCAATGGAAGGCCACAATTTTCATTCTTTTTTTTTTTTAGTCTTTTTGAGACAGGGTCTCACTATACAGTTCAGCCTGATCTTGAGCTCACTTTGTAGCCCAGGTTGGTCTTGAACTCGCAACAATCCTCCTGCCTCAGCCTCCTGAGTGCTGGGATTACAGGCATGCACCACCACGCCCAGCACAGCCATGAAATTTGGTAGCTATTTTAAACGTCAGCTTCTTAATACTTAACTTAAACCTCTGAAGCAGAATATTATGTCAGATATTTTGCTGTCACGTTAGTTTGCTGAATACAAAGCTAGTAAACATTCTTTGACTTAAAATGGATTCTGTTCTGTAATTATAAGGGTTCTTACAGTAGTGAGTTGCCTTTGATGAAACAGTCTTTAGTCCATTTAACATGAAAGAAATTCATCACTTGTTCTGACAGAGAGCATGAGCATCTACGATGATATTGACGCCGATGTGCTGCAGAATTACCAAGAGTACAGTCTGGCCAACATCATCTACTACTCCCTGAAGGAGTCCACCACCAGCGAGCAAAGCGCCAGGATGACAGCCATGGACAACGCCAGCAAGAACGCGTGTAAGTGCGCCGTGGCGACGGTGCAGGTGCTGGCTGGGACCACGGCGCGTGGACAGTGCCAGGGAGAACTGGTGCAGCTCACGGTGCACCTCTCCTGAGTGCCTCGCCCAGAGCAGCGTCAGAAATGCTGACAAAGTCTCCTTTCTTGGAGGGAAGCGTATCTCACTTCACAGGTAGCAGACTTGCAAGTAATGTAAAAAGTCACCCTGTGGAAGACGTATAAATATCTCCACAACACTGGTTCTGGGGGCCACTTTGGGAGTCCAAAAGAAACAGTCTCCTTTTTGTTTTATTTTTATGGTACTGGGGATTGACTGGACCCAGGGCCTTTGCACTGAGCTAAAGTCACATTCCTTTTTTTTCCTTCCATTTTTGTTGTGAGAGAGAGCTCACAAAGTTGCCTGGGCTGGGCTCGAACTTGTAATCCTTCTGCCTCAGCCCCCTGGAGTGCTAGGATTACAGGTGTACACTGCCATTCCCAGTTCTTTTAAATTAAGCAGTGGAGGTTAATTAACTAGTTGTTCCGTTCTACTTTTGGATTTTGTCATGTAGTCTTTCTGTTTTGTTTGCAGCTGAGATGATTGATAAGTTGACGCTGACGTTCAATCGCACTCGCCAAGCCGTCATCACCAAAGAGTTGATTGAAATCATCTCTGGCGCAGCAGCTCTGTGAGTCACTGGGTTGTGACCCTCGGGGGTCTTTTCCCCTCTCCCACCCGCTGCATGTAAACGTTTTCTGTTTTGTTTGCCTACTAAAGTGGAAAGGACTCGTTGCTGAATCTTGACTCTTGAGGCTGTCTGGTTTATTCTATTGTTTCAGCTGAAACATCAGGCTTAGTTTCTTCGTTAGAGATCAGTATATTGTTAGCTTTCACTTTCCTAAAGTGCTAAGAGTAAACGTGAATAATTCAGTACCACTGGTATGTCTGTCTTTGGAATGTAAAGCATTGCAGGCTGAGCTGTCCGAATTTCAGGACTAGCTTTGCATTTGGTGTTATAAACCACTTAATGGTGGTAGGGTTCAGGAATTTTTAAAATTATTTTTCCTATGTCAGAACCATAAGAGAGCATGCTGCTTTCCTCAGAAAATGTGATTGTCCAGACATGTTAATGTTTGTGAAATAAGGTAACATCGTGGCAGTTTCAGTCACAAAATTATTAAGGTGAATATCTGTGTGCAAAGTGCAGTGCTGGGCAGTGTTCAGGATTGGGTTTTCTCTTTCAGTGGGCTGAGAAAACACAGGGTGATTGTGATGAAAGATGAAATGGGTAGTGAATTAACTTTGATTCATTCCATCTTACCTCCTATTAATTGGTCATCAACGTCTAGAAGAGTTATTTTGCAGGGTTTTTTGTTTTGTTTTGAGACATGTTCTTGCCACGTTGTCCAGGGTGCCTTAAACTCTTGGGCTCAGGCCATCCTCCTGCCTCAGCCTCCCTGTACACCTCCCCATTACACCTAGCAAAAAGATCTTTTCTTTTCAATACTGAGTGCCTCTTAAGTGCAAGGCCATGTGCTAGGTACTGAAACTACAATGCTGCCAGTCTTTGCCTTCCGGGAGCCGAGTCTTAACAGAAGACAGATGCTAAGTAAGAAATTGCAGCAGGAGACGGTGGCCCGGTGCAGAGCTGCATTTTAAAACTTTGTTAAAGGAGGGAAGGGGCAGACAGTATGTGACCAACAGGCCTAAACTACAGTATTTACTGACTGGTCCTTCACAGAAGAGAAATTGCTGATCTTGGAGCGCACGCTGGAGGAAAGTAATGGCGCTCATTCTTTGGGTATTGTCATACTCTACAGAGACAGCCTAGCTGGATGTATGTTGTCACGTATTTCCTGGACATCAGTAGCACTCCTGCCATTCTGATCCCTCCGTTTCTGGCTTGCTTGAACCTCAGCCACCTTGATCTATTTCTAGGTCTTCAAATGTGTCACGCTCTTATCTCCAGGGAGGTGGCCCAGGGCCTCAAACTGGGCTACATCTCCTGCCTTTCTTTTCTTTTCTTTTTTTTTTTGAGAGGATCCTGCAAAATCACTAAACTGCCCAGGCTGGACTCAAACTGTAATCCTTCTGCCTCAGCCT